TATTTATGTATAAATAGCCAGCGCAGCTTGCTCTCCATATCAGTATGTTTCCTTACCATTTTTATCTTGTTTTACTCAACAGCTCCCAGGGAGCACAAGCCTAGCTTTTCCTCCTGCAGTGCCTGTGTTCTACAGCCGATTCAGGCTCCTGGACTGTGTCTGAGTGTTGGTTGTGTTGAGTCTGGGCCAAAGCTTGGCTCTGGAAGACACTATCCATGATTTTCCTGTGCTCCTAATGGAACAAGGCAGAATGATGAGGAGATGCCGCAGAGCAGACAGGTGGCGTCTTGTCTTCCACACTGGCTGTTTTCCTGGAAAGTCTTATGGCCATCACAAGCTTTTCCTCACTGAGGCTTTGAGACCAGAGGCACCGGTGTGTGACTGGGGCTGATGGCAGGGTTCGTGTCCTGGAGACCAGCAGCACACGAGGAAGGCAGGCTAGGATACAGGATGTACCTCTCCTCTCTGCTCTCTGTGTGTCCTAGCTGTTCCCTAGGTCCCCAGGTCTCAGACCCCTTGGGCCTTGGTCCTCAGTCAGCTGCTGTGCAAGAAAAGGAGGAGGGGCAGATGCCAGCAACCCGCAGGCCTGACTCTGCGAAGGGAGGAAGGCTGGGTAGCTGTGGACCCTCACAGGGCCCAGGTGAGGAAGAGGAGCTCTAGGCTCTTTGAGGCAGATGCACTGAAATAACTTGATTGTTGCTCTATCTGCCCTGCTGCCACAGCCGGTGTCCCCAGTCATCTCTGTGTGCCCTCTGCTGGTGGGGAAAGTCCACGGATGCTCAGCTCCCCAGCCAGGCCCCAGGATCTGCTGGGAGCTCAAAGGCTGTGTCTGACTGGACTCCTGGCTCCAGGGGCTTTGCCTCTGCTGTGTTTTCATGGAGGAGAAACAAAGGGCAGTGTCCTTGGCTGGGGGCACTGGGGACTGGTCCGGAGAAGGGATACTTGTCCTCTTCTACAACCCTGGGTTTCTTTGCTGCTGCATCCTTTCCTGTCCTCATTCTTAGGGCAGAGAAGGACCTTTGCTGAGAGATGCCTCTTTGAGACACTGTTAAAAGGAATCTGGGCAGCACAAGGCTGGGGTGCCACCTAGGGGAAGAGGTATCCCTAGACTCACTGATGGTCCAAGAAGACGTTTCATCTCAAGTCACTTAATCTATGAAAATCTAGAATTCATGTCAAAAATTTAAAAATAGGAATGGAAAGGGGAGTCATTTTCCACTTTATAAAAATGATTTCTCATTTGCAAAGACATTCTTGTTGTTCTATTTAGTAGTTAACAAGGTTTCTTCCTCACAGAGGTAAAGGCAACAGAGGTAGGTCATCCTTGAAAGGTATCAAAGATATATGTGGCTTCCTACATTATTGTTTGAATTTTTTCTTAAGAAATAAAAATGAAAACCTAGCAATATAAATAGAAATTGATCAGCATTCCTTTTTGGGTCCACCTAGGATGGAGACCACTCAACTTTGTCTTCTGCAGTGCTTCAAGACAGTGTCCTCACATGTAAACAAGATTATTTCTCTTCTCTGCTCAAAAGCCTGTAATGGTTCCACACTGTACCCGGACAAGCCAAAGTCCTTCCATGGCTTATAAGGCTCTGCACAATATGCACCCAGAGTGCCTGATCCTAACTCCTGCACTAGCTCACTTTGCTCCAGCTACGCTGGTCTCCTCGTTCCTGCGCATAGCCCGTGCATTCCTGCCTGAGGGTATATGTGAGCTGCTCCTCTGTTCTTTCCCCAGACACCTGTGCAGCTGCTTCTTGCCTACTTCAAGTGTTTGCTTCAAGGTCAAGCAACCAGTGGGGTCCTTCCTGATTGTATTTGTACCCAACAATTCATGCTCTCACAGTATACTCATTCAGCCCTCTAAAACTTGAGGGAAAGTTTAGTTTGGCTAACTAAAATGGGGTGCTTTTGTGTCCCAGTTTGCCCAGGATGATCTCAGTTCATACCTGTTGCCCCAGGGTAATTAATGGTGTCTTTTTACCTCTCAAGAGCGAAAGGCAGTAAAAATAAGCAAGATACTGTCTGCACAATTAGAATACAAGGGTTCAGTTAGCTGGCTAGACACAAAATATCTAAAAACTAGTCATTAATAACCAAATAGAAAAGAGAGAGCTTATTCGAATAACCAAACTATACAAGACCTTTATGGGGAAAAGTGAGAAACATTTACCATGGCCAGTTCAAGGAGATGCCCCAGGATGGGGCTGGCTTTAGCTATTTCCCTGATGACAATTCCTCCTTTTTCTGAGAAATCATGGGTTAGGGAAGTTATCACTAGTGTTTCTGGAGAATGGTAACAAGTGGCCTTGGTCATTTCAATCCCCAGAGATAGTCTTGTTACAAGCCATAGCAAAAGAAGGAAATCTAAAGTATAAAATATTCTGCAAATTACTGTTTATTATTTTGGGAAATTACGTAAATCTCATATTTTGCAATATTTTAAGAGACTGAAGAAAATCTGCCTTTCAGTAACAATCCCAGAAAAGGCAAGCCACGTTTCCACATTTCCAGTTATCCATTATCCTGTGATAAACGAGGTAGTCAGACCTGCTCTGTAGGGAAGGCTCACATCAAGAAACCTCTTGCCACCAGCCTCTTCTACAGTTGGGGAGTGGGACACATTTTTTTCTTTTTGCTATTTTATTTTTGAGATGGAGTTTCACTAAGTTGCCCAGGCTCTTCTCAAACCATGGCAAGCTTTATGCCAATTTTTTTTTTTAAATACATGAGCAAAGGATTAAGGAACCAAGGCAGGCTGACACTGATAATGAATATTATTTAAAATTTCTAGAGTAGAAAAACTAGAACTTGCTGAAAAATTTTTGATTTATTTCAACCCCTAAAAGTTCTAAATTCTTCTTGACTTGGCAGGAACCAAATTAATAAATTAGGACTTGTCAAGGAAAAGTCCTGATCTTTGTAAAAAAATTCCTAAAATAAAGAAGAAAAAATCTGATTACAGATGGATTTGTAGATACAAGGAAATTCTGTATAATAAAGTATTAGTTTTCTCTAATGAATCCATAATATGTAAATTCAATTTAATCTCAATTAAAACTTCCAGTGAATCTTTTGTGACCTTAACTAAAACAATCCACAGTCAGTGCTGTACCAGACATCCAGCCTTAGGACAAAATAAATCAATGAAAGTGTATTTTCTTTTTTTTTTTTTTTTTTTTGTCTTTTTCTTTTTTATCAGTACCGGGGATTGAACTCACGACCACCTGCTTGCAAGGCAGGTGCTTATGCCACTGAGCTAAATCCCCAGCCCCCATGAAAGTGTATTTTCAAGGAAAAAAAAAAAAAAAAGGATGAAACATAGACTCTAATCTGGAAAGAAAAGAAAAATTGCTTGAGAGAAGTCAGTGCAGTCAATGGCTGGATGTCTTCATGGGACAACCAAGTGTAAGAGGTGATAACAGACGTGGGTAGCTGCCATGAAATACAGAAAAGTGACTGTTCTTTTAGTTACAGAACTGAGAATTCCTTGGCTGACTGGATGCTAGATTTTCTAAGAACTAAAATATGATTTAGTAGTTAAAATAATAAGGGTGACAGAAGTGGAAATAACATAGTCACTGGAAGAAAAGACATGAACAAGAGGCCAAAGAAGGAAATAAGGCTAATGGCAGGTGAGATGACTGATAACATGAATCTCAAACTAGCACAAGGTTTCCAAAGGGATGGGGAAGGCCACTCTGCAAGCAGCACTGGGGCAAAGCCACAGGCCCCACCTTCAGACCTGAGACACAAGGGCAAGGGTTTAGAGAAAGACTTCTCATGGGGCACTCCTGTGTTTGCAAGGACCTTAGATATTTTGAAGAATTAAGACCAGGCCCATTTCTGTTACTTGTTCTCATTCACTTCACCTTCCTAACTCTTCACCAATGCTCAATATTAACCAATATACAGTGATAGCAGGAGAAAGATTTTAGAAAGCTATCCATTTTTATATTAAAAATGGGTGTTGCTCTTCACAGTGGGACATGTCTATAATACCAGCATTCTGGAGGGCTGAGACTAGAGGATTGTAAGATTAAGCTCAGCCTGAGCAACTTAGCAAGACCCTGTCTCAAAGTAAAGAATAAAAAGGGGTAGGGATGTAGCTCAGTGTGAAGGCCCTGGGTTCAAACCCCTGTACCACACACACACACACACACACACACACACACACACTATCCATACACAAAGAAGGAGGAGGTAACATGTGAGAAGCTAGAGGAGGCAATAGCAGCTTCCTTGCCATTTGGGCCAGAGGATTTTTCGGTGCGGTGACTGTCCTGTGCATTGTGGAATAAACAGCAGCATTCCTGGTCTCTTACCCACTGCATGCCAGCAGCAACCTTTCCTCAGTCATATTAATAAACACCTATTTTTCAGATATTGCCAAATGTCCCTGGGGATAAAACTGCCCTTGATGAGAACCACTGGGATAGAGATGAGCTACAGAAACGGAGCGAGAAAAGGGTGTAACTTGAATAGAGAAGGAAAGCAACAAAGGGGGATGAAATTAAGGCAAAACTGTAGTCTCCATTTATGAAGCTTCCCTAAATTTCAGTGTAGGCTCAGTGATCTGTTATAGCTACCTCCACCAGCTCAGATTTCCCCAGTTAGTTGACCATGTGGCCAATTTTAACAGCAACATCCCTGGCTGACTGCTGGGAAGCACTCATGGTGGGAGAGTCATACCTCTTCCTCGGACACTAGGCTTCAATTAGTCCCACATTTTCTATTTCAAAATACGGCCTCTAAAATGAACACAAGGCTATCATGCCTCTTCATGATAGTCCACTGTAGGCTGTAGGTATATTTTATTTTAATTTTTCCTCTCTTTTCACTTGGCCCAAATTTGTTCTGGGCCTATTTCCCGTTTACCCTTCAGTTTCCTTCCTAACTTTAATGAATGTGAAACTTGGTCACTGTTAAAAAAATGGACATAAATCTTCCTATAGAAGCCTATGTTCCCATTCAAATGTACTTAAAGAGTTGAGTACATAATCAGCACTGTCTTTATTCAAGGAAAAACAAACTAATATGACACCATTTATTAGTATCAAGATTCTGTTCAGTAATTCCGCTCCTTGCACATAGCTCAAAAGGCAGAAGTAACCTAAATGTCCATCAGTGGGTGACAAAAAACCAAACACACAAAGGAATTCAGTCTTTAAAAAGGTTACTCTGACACATGCCATAAGACAGATGAACTTTGAGGGCATTATGGTAAGTGAAATAAATCAGGCACAAACAGATAGAAATGGATCCCACTTGCATGAGACACCTAGAGCATGAAATGCATGGAGACCAAAGCAGAATGGTGGTTGGCAGGAGCGGCGAAGAGCGGAGGATGGGGCATCACTGTTTAATGAGTTTCAGTTCTGTGAGATGAAAGAGTTCTGGGGTTAGGTGGTGGTACTCTCTGTGCAACAGTGTGAATCTATTTAATGCCACTGAACTGCACACTTAAAAATGGTTTAAAAAGACTAATTTTATAATGTGCATTTTATCACAATTAAAAAGTCTTTAAAAATATATATAGACAAAATTAAGGTACTTTTATTTACTTTCCTTATAATTATATCATCTAAGGCATAAGTGGTGTTTATTTATCATATCATCTAAGGCATAAGTGGTATCTTATGAGGTATTCTACAGCTGGATTTTCATTCAAAAACACATTATGTTAGACTGGCGGAAATGGAGACCCTCCCCTGGTACAGGATTTCACTTATGATAAATGCATTTTTCCCTCATCAAGCCTGGCTCAGTCGCTGTTTTAGGGGCAGACAGGGTAGTGTGGCAGCTGCCAGGAAGGTCACCTGGTTTACCACAGCCAGTCATGAGAGTAAGAGAGGCATACAGCGGGCTCCTTGGTTCTCTCAGGCCACGTTCTCAATGATGACTGCAATGCCTTGGCCGCCTCCAATGCAAGCCGAACCAACAGCGTATTTTCCACCTCGACGCCTAAGAAAGAAAGCAGTGGCTGAAATCTACTGTGATAATTAGATGAATTAACTAAATTGAATTAATATCATTCATATTTGCATTAATAATTCTTATTCAGCTCGACTTCTCAATCTTTTCTATAATCCTCAATTTTGGTACATAGTCATAATAGCTTATTTCTTTTTTTTTAATTCAAAAAAGAAATAAAAAAATAACACAGAAAGAAGAGGTAATCTAAGTAGAGGATTAGTAAGTAGGTTTAGGGCCAGAAAAACTGAAACAAATATACAAGCTTACATGTGCTGCGGGAAAAGAGCGAAAACAGGAGATACGTTAGAGACGTAAGGGGATTTGAAAAAGGAGAAAGGAACATTCAGTTTCTTTGATTTACATGGTTTTCGATTTTTATGGCACTTTAGAAGAAAAATAATTCATGAGGTTGATCCATATGAGAGCAGATAGTTTAGAAAGAGTCGTCTGCTTCATAATAATTAGGCTCACAGAGAAACGCCTGTTCCCAGTCTTCAGTCCTGACATGGTGACCCTGAGAATATCATCTAGGAATTATTTCTACATGTCAACCGCTCATTTCAACCCCGTAAATCAGTGAGTGAAATGAGTCCCTTTTCTCTAGCCTTCCAGGGTCTCGCAAGGACTTTTCAGTCTCACATGTTTGGTTTTGTTTGCAATTTTCCTGCCAGTAGAGAAAATACATACAGCCAGAAGGAGGAGCTCTTCTACCAAACTAGAACATCCAGAAGGCCACGCTGAAGGGAACATCTTAGACCAAACTGCCAGCTTGCTTAGGTTCTTTACATGAAGGATTCTAGATCAGCAGCTATAGAGTATTTTCATTTGTTTGTTTTTCTACATAAATCCACCTTACTACTGTAACAGTCACTGAAATGCAAAATGCCATAAGAACCAGGGGTTCATTAAGTGAACTGGTCATCAGTTCCAGGCCACTGCAGAGCAAAGCTTGATTCCCAGCCGAGGGCAACTAACAAGTCAACTGAGTCATCTGCAAGGTATGCTACAGTTGTCCAAATAACTGGTCAGAATCAGTATAGGGGATTAAAGGAAAAGGCACAAAAGGTTGGACTGTTCTAAAAAAACTGGAATTCATGTGTTTTTATTACAAACAACACATCTAAAATGGAAATACCTTAGTTCATGAACCAGGTGTGCGGTAATTCTTGTTCCAGATCCTCCCAAAGGGTGACCCAAAGCAATGGCTCCTCCATTTATGTTGGTCTTACTCGGATCAAGATTCAAACTTTTCTGAACAGCCAAGTACTGGGGAGCAAAAGCTTCATTCACCTTAGGAAAAAAGGTAACAGTGTTAAGAGTTTCTAGTCATAAACTTTTAACCAAAATGGGCTAGCCCTATTGAGAGCAAACTGTGCTAATTCTTCCCATTTAAATTATCTCGTAATATTATTTGATACTATCTTTAATCATTGTGTAGAGAAATCAGGTTTTTCTAAAGACAAAAGAAAGGAGGTGGGGAAGGGGAGAAGAGAGATTGATTGATTTAAAAATAGTCAAAACAATCATGTTCAAGGTTATTTAGAGGTATCTTCCTTTACAAAAGATGTCAGGTTTAAAAGAAGATATACTTCATAAACGATACTTTGCATCAAATACATTCCTTAAAGGAATATCAGCAATCTTTTAAAGGACACACTAGAGGCAGGGAGATAATATTGAAAGTCCATAGGTTTTGGAGGCAGATAGAGGGTACAAATCTTGGCTGAATAATTTATTCATGTGTAACCTTGAACATGTTACTAAAGCTCTCTTTATATACACATTTTCTGAACTGTAAAATCCAACTGTGGTATCATGATGAGAGTCATTGTTAAAGTTAAATAAAATCATAGATAGTGTCTAGTATATTATCTGACAGATAGCAAGTACTCAAGTGGACACTATTATTATTACCCAGGACAAGCTGGTCACAGTGGTGCACACCTGTAACCCCAGGATTTGGGAGGCCAAGGCAGGAGGATTACTACAAGTTTGAGGCCATACTGGGCTACATAGAGAGTTCAAGGTCTGAACTACATAGTGACACCCTGTCTCAAAAAAATAAAACTAATTAACTAAATACTATTACCAAGAACTAAGAGCCATCCTTCCAAGAGGAAACGAACAGACAACAAAAAATAAACCTTCAGAAGGGTTACTATGTCAAAATGAGGCAGAAGGGCCAGGAATTTAGCTCAGCAGAGTAAGGGCCTGCCTGGCAAGTGCAAGGTCATGAATTCAATGCCCGGTACAAAAAAAGAGGTAGAAAGGAAAAGTGTCATTGCATGATGTTAATACTTACCAATGCTGGCTGTGAGAATTGCTTTTGCTTCATCAATAGTACCATATTTTCGTATTATCTTAGTTTAGGAATTATACAAAGAAACTAATTCTGAGGAAGATAACATTTATAGAGTTGGGCTAAATTTCAGTCTTGTTCTCTTTCCTACTATATTTTTGTATGTTTCCAAAATTATTTGCCCTTAGATCCAACATTATTCATTTGTTTTATATCATTATATTCAAAGAGATACTATACTAAGAAACCTAGAATATGTCATGAAGAATAAGCTTCTGAACCAGGAGAACTATGCTGTCCTTGCATATCCATATGACTAGAAATGATAACAAACAGCTTTTCAGTGGTTAGGTGCAATAACTTATGGAGAAAGCTGATTAAATTCTTGTCCAGTTTGGTTTTGTAACCAGACTTGTGGAAAGACTTAAGTTCATGACCTGAGGCACCACTGTTCAATGTGATAGTTCAGCCCTCTTGAGTTTGTGAGCTGTAAGCTGCTAAGCATGAAGATTCACAGATAAACCATTATTTATTTGAAACTTTGGTTTTCTGGGTGAGGGATTAGAGGAAACCACATACATACCTACCCCTTCTCTATCATTTAAATAGAGATTTCTTTGTCATATTAGTTATTTCCCAATGCCAGTTAGCACAGCTTAATTACCTGAAATGTTCAGATACTTCTCCAAAGTAAAATGTTTATAATCCATTACATTCAACCAGTAAATTTGTATTTATAGTGTCTTGTATCAAACCACAAGAAAGGTGCAAAAGCCAAAGACAGGATTGAAGAAGCATCAATTTAGGGGACAGGGCAAGAAACTTGATTTGGCATTATGTTAATTCTTCTGCCTATATTTTTTTTCATTTAAAATGGGATTATGGTTATTTATTCCTCTCCTACCTCCCTTAATACTAAATTCAACAGGTATTATCAACAGTCTAAAATGTAGTGGAGTTCTACAAAGTCCCAAGAAGTTTCCAGGACTTTATACTTTTGTAGGAGAAATTAGTTAAGTTATTCAAAAATAAATCAAGCATTTTAGTCAGGTACAGAAAAGTATTAGCACAAGGCATGTAATACATAGATATACACGGTTTGGAAAGGCTGGTTGTATCAACTCAAAAAGCTACAAAATATTAAGACAAAGCCACTGATGCTACAGAAGTAGGTGGTTCATGCCTACTATAAAAACAGAACAACTTACCTCTACCAAATCCATATCCTTGAGACTCAGTCCTGTTCTCTTCATTGCCCCACTGATGGCAGGAACAGGACCTATGTAAGAATAAGATTTGCTTACAGAAAGAAACATTGTCTTATTTATTTATGTGTCAAAGTTCTTCCATAACAAGTAAGGATGACATAATGTGACGGAGTTATCAGCTGTCACAAGTCTTGCTGCTTTATCAGTATGGATTAAATAATGTGAGAATGAAGAAACCAAAAATGGGACCAGTGAAAGGCTGTTGGACTCTGCAGTCAAATTTCAGGTGACAGATTTCTACGGGAAGATCTACCGTATGGCTTTAGGGTTTCAAACATCCAAAGAAGTCACTGGTGGGGTTTACAGTTAGAGGTCCTACTTGATCTCAAACAGCTGGGCACACCAAGTGTTCATGGGATAGAATTTTCAGAGACCCATGTGGAAAGAAGGCAAGAAATAGCAGCACCTCCACAGGGGCACAGAACCGAGGGGCTCCATGGCACTGAAGGGAAGTAGATGAAGTGAGGAAACAGTGCTAACTCCAACGGCAGACAGAGGATTTAAAAAACACATGATCCCTGACTCAAGAAATGCAAAGCTGCCTGATAAGCCTTTTGATATAAACTAACTTCCACATTTCTGATAATTACCAGTAAAAGTGTAATATTGCTCAAATTTTTAAATAAATCAGTCTTTCTTTTCTAAAAGGTAAAAAAGTCTCACTAGAGAAATTATCTCCTCTATTTATTTATAGAGCATGAAACTTCCATAAGTGTCTACCATGAAAATATATGATATATTTTATTGAGTTCAAGTAATCAAACTTATGTAACAAATTCCACAAATACACCTAAAGTGAGATGCAAGATGAATCTTGGTAAGAAAAATGCAGTTCAATATAAATAAAGTGTTACAGGTTCTCTAGACATGTTTGCTTATTGAGTAGGACCATCCATTTAGTGCTTTTCTTATTTAAAACAGCAGTTTTTGTGGCCACTAATTTAATATGGAATCTAATTCTAGATTTTCTTTGCGTAAGTGTCCAACCATAACAGGATGGGTAGTAAAAAGTAAAGTACCAGATATCTAGCATGGCCAGAGGATTGTTAGTCAGCTTTTCATCACTATAATGAAATACTTGAGGTCATATAAAAAGAAAAGGAGGCTGGGCGTGGTGGTGCATGCCAGTAATTCTAGTGCTCAGGTGGCTGAGGCAGGAGGATTGCTGCAAGTTGAAGGCTACCCTGGGGTACATAGTGAGACCCTTTCTCAAACAAATAAAAGAAATAAAGACAATGTAACTTCAGCTTCTTCTTTTTTTTGAGACAGGGTCTTGCTGGTTACTCAGGCTAGCTTTGAACTCAAGGCTGACCTTGAACTTGCAGTGATTTTCTTGCCTCAGCCTCTGGAGTGCTAGGATTACAGGTGCATGCCACCATGCTTCATTTATTCTTCAGTACTAAAAGATACCTAGAAAGAAAAGTACTAAGTTCTTAGTACTGACGGTGCTATGTCACTGTGTTCACAGTTCTTCAGAAACATTAGGAAGCCTGAATCAACTAGCTCATGTTAACTCATGGTCATTATAGTCAAGTACAACTGTATACTGGGCCATAACGTATTTCTTCTTAGACCACAGACTTTATTTCTAGGCCTGGCTCCTGCCACTAACAGGTGTAGCTTTGGGTACTTCTTTGGGCTTCAAAGTTCAATTAAAAGACACTTTGAATTGGTTGTTAACCTTTGTCTTTTTAATACTGGAATTTTTTCTACAGATGAAGCCCAAAAAGGATGAAGCCAGAGCAGCTCAAGTTCAGAGGCTTGAAGTTCCAGTGTGTACGTTCACCCTGCTATCTTCTAGGAGTTCCAGGCAACAGGGTCTTTCTGGAACTGCGTGCTTCATCAGGGTCACTGCTGTTCTCTTTAAGTCCTGGCTTCTCATTCCTGGGCCTGCATCTATATTGAAGGCCACAGACTGTTACATGTAGGTATCTACAGAATTGAGGACTACTGCTCTTACAATCTGGATTTCCAAATCAGTCCCCACTAGATGCCCAATAACCTGTTTTCCCTGTTTGTTTTCCTGGGGCACTTTTCTAGGTACCTTACATAATCCCACACTATCAGTGACAGACCAGCTTCCACACAAAGAAGGCATTTGGAACCTACAGCTCGGTGGCATTACTGAGTCCCCCTGTAGGGATGGCTGGTGGAAGACATCTTGAAATTGGGCAGAGCCTGAGTACGTGCTGGCTTCAGCGTCATACAGAGAACTAGTGGGAGACATCTTAGATTTGGGCAGATCTGCTGTTCTGGTGCTCCTGTGACAGAGAGGTCTGGAAGAGAACAGCTGGGATTTGGGCAGAACCCTGTGCCATAGTGACATTAGTCAGCTGCTCCTGGTACAAAGAGAGCCGGCAGGTGCTACTGGGGCTAAACCAAGCCTCTACTTGGGGCCCAATAAGCAGATACAAAATAGTCACAACTCAGTGACATCCAGAAAGTACAGCCTAATTTACAGATTGACTGGCACAGAGGCTGGAGACTAGCCTGTACCGCCCCTGCATCCCAACCTACCCCAGATAACAGCAAATTGGGGAGGACAGCAAAAACTCAAGTCAGCACGCTTCTGAAAGGCCCTAAGCAATTCAGAGAGGGCCAGAGAACCCCAGGACAGTCTGAAAGAAACCAGAAACATGACAAGAGATAAAAATAAAAAAAAAAAATCTCCAGCTGCCCAACATGAGAAAATAAGCCCAGGAGAAGTAAACACAGTAACCATCCATTGCTCTACACAGCATCAGCCGAAATTAAAAAGTACCTGCATGATCTCATAGAAGAATTTAAAGCTGTACTCCTGATCCAAGTGAGGCAAGATATAAAGAGATTAATTAAAGAAATGACAAGCCCCGCCCAAGAGAACACAGATGGAAGAACTGAGGAATTCAGAAAAGAAAGAGAAACTTCTGAAGAAGAATTTAAATATAACTTAGAATACATGAAACAGATCCAAAGAGAATACCAGGAAACTAAAAACTCCATTGAACACTGGCAAAATGCCTTGACAGAAACTAAAGACAGCCTTCTGAAACTTGAAGAGAGATTTATGGCATATGATCGTGAAAGAAAAAGCCTCTTAAAAATAACAAGGAACCAGAAAGAAGCAATTCAAAAACTAGAAAATGACAAAAAGATACATAACTTAAGAATAAAGAATGTGAGTGAGGAAGCAGGAGCAACCAAAAATGAAATACAAAGAATATTCACAGATATATTAAAGCAAAATTTCCCATGTATAGCAAAAAGAAATGATATCCAGATAAAAGAGGCATACAGAACACCAGCTACTTACAACCAAAACAGATCTACGCCTAGACATATAATAATCAAGATTCCAGAAATCCACCAAAAGAACAGAATATTAAAAGCAGCCAGAGAAAAGATGCAGATTACCTACAACGGGAAAACTATCAAAATAACAGCAGACTTAGCGCACTATCAGTAGAAGTGCAGCTGGGCAGTTAAGGCTGACTAAGTTAATAGGGTGCTTACATGACAAGCAGCAGGATAGGAAGAGGTCACCATGTGAGTTTTCACTTGCGATCATCTATGTAAGTTTGCTACACTAACTTGGCCTCCACTATTTTATAATATTCCCCTTACACTGGGAGACCATCAGGCTGTGGTCTCAATTACAATGTCCAGAGAACACTTCATGCAGATGCTTTATTGGTGGAGGTGAACAATGTATTTTGCCCATCTGTTTGGGACTACAATGGTCTATCTCCATTTTTTTCTACCAGGAATCAAACTCATGACCTCACACTTTCCAGGCAGGCACTTTAGTCCCTGAGCTAAATCACCAGCCCCATATATTATTGTTTACGGTGTAAGATTCAACATTATTCTCTTGGAAAACTAAGTGACTTTTGATACTAAATTAATTTAATTGCTAAAGTTAAAACATTGTTCATTTTTTTATGTTCCATACTTTCACATACAAGTGAACTGATTTCTAAGAATACATAATTTCATGCTATGAAAATACGTAATCATAGACTATAATGCAAACTGAAGAAATGAGAATTATTTAGACAGTAGAAAGTATGTTTTAGAAGAGTTGTAGTTCTTATCTTCAAATAGTTGAATTGCTGATCTGTAGGCCTGAGTCAAATTTGCTCATTGCTATGGATGTTGCTTGTTCAATATGTGGTTCTCTTAATCCCAGTTTGGGAGCTTACTTTTCATTTCATGTGTGATGGAAGCACGGTGCATTTTTCTGGATTTCATTCCCAAAACCAAGTTAATAATTGGGTCCTACTTTAAGCATGGACAATAAAGTACTACCCATAAAGCTCTGGAAAAAAAAAATAACAGCAGACTTATCAACACAAACTCTTAAGTCAAAAAGAGAGTGGGGAGAAATATTCCAAGTCCTGAAAGAAAATAATATGCAACCGAAGCTCATATACCTATCAAAACTCTCTCTCAAAATTAATGGAGAAATAAGATACTTTCAAGACAAGGAGGAACTGTGGGAGTTCGTGGCCACCAATCCAACCCTACAGAGAGCGCTGAAGGACATTACAGAGAAAGAGGAAGAGATACCAGGATTCCAGCAACAGTGGCAGAGAGGCCTCAATGAACGGGGCAGACAGTGGAATGAGGGAATAAGGTGGACAAATTATAGCAGAAAAGTGGAGTAGCAGACATGAGGCAGAGACGGTAAGCTATAGTCTTTAGTATAGACAGCTCTGAAACTCTATAAAAAAAAAGGCAGAGGTCATTGTTAATGGTGTATAAGGATTTAAAAGACACAGTAGTCATATTGTCATATTTAGCTTGAATTTAATTTGTACTGGTCTGTCACTCATGTCAGATTTGAGGGCACAGACATCTTGACCCAAAAATAGCAGGTTATACCATGGTAACTATCCTTACTTTCCTATTAACTTAAACTGAAAATACTTACATTGTCTTACTATGACTGATCTTAATTAAATCTGAATCATAAAACTATGGGTTGGCCTTGGCTGATTTTATTTGAAATTGGTATGCTTGTTAGTATCAACCCTAAAAGTAGAGGCAACTACTCTGAGGATGACAGGATGTAAAGGATATCCATACTGGTATTAATTAGTGACAGCTCTCAAATCCTACAATGCTATCAAAGTTAAGTTTTTATAAAAATAGGTGATACTATATTTAACTATAATAAGCCAGTGTTGTGGTCAAATCTATTGAAAATAACAAGAGAAAACATAGTAACTACGGAAGATCATCTATATTGTGGTCTTATATGTCTTATCCATTGCATGTTTTTCTAGGAAATTGTTTTGCTGTCTTGCTATGACTTGGTATTCCCTATAATACAGAGAGGATAGATATATATGTAGAAATTCACACATGGTTTTTTTTTTTTTTTTTAAATTACTTACGGGAACAGATTATATAATGCAAGATGTAATGAACAGATACTCTGAGGAAGAGACGCTAAGAAACCCGAGGCTAATTTTGTAGCATTATGATATAAATTCTAGCAATACTAGTGTTCGCTGATTAGTATGACATTGGACTGGTTTCTTGAGTTCAATTTCAGCATATGTAGAGATGGGGACAGCTATCACAAAGAGAATGAGAGATGCGATGGTAGTTACTATTGTCTTCCCTAATTTGGAACTTGAGGACCTAAAAAGCCTCTAATGATTTGATTAGTTCTATAATATGCAATAAGTATATAAAGTGGGTGAAGATGGGGACAACTATTTGTAAGAAACTAGAGACAGTTAGATAGACAATGAAGATCTCCAGTGGACTTGCTTTGAAATCTGTATTTCTTTAAATTGTTTTTTTAACTGCTTTGTTCTGTTTTGATATGTTTAATCTTACCCTCTTTGAGATATAAAACAAATGTGTAGGACTGATAACCATATTACTGAGCTTTTGTTCGATCATAGAGCAGAACGGTTTGTAGTGTCACTTTTTGAATGTCATTCTAAATACTTTAATTCTATAACATGAACAGCTATTTCTAAGATGACAGTGTGTAACTTATCAACCAGCAATTTCTTACCGTTTGTTTTTCTGTGTTTGTATTATTTCTACCCTTTTTTTTTATCTCCATGTATTTTTTTGTTTCTTTTTCTTTAAATAAAAAAAAAAAGGAAGGCATTTGACAGTGACATATTTAGTATGTACAGCTCTGCTCAAACCCTGAGGAAAAAAAGATAATCCTTCACAGTAGCATTCATTGTACTTTATGGTGGATATCTGGGCCAGGGAAAAGAAGGAAGAAAAACATTTTCTTTGCTCACCAGCTAATACTAACCTATCAGTGCCCATAAAGTGAGGTTAAACTGAAAAACAACTATCAAGTAACTACTTATCTAAATCAGATAAATGTGGTGGATCATCAAAGCATGTAGGTTCTCTGAACAAAACCCAATTTCTGGGCTCCATTCTAGATGTGCTAGAACAAAATCTTAGTGAGGTGAGGTTGTGGGCAGCTTTGGATATTATCTAGGATGGGAATTACTGCTCTGGATCCTGAAATAATAAATTGTCATCTCAATGCACAGATGTTTCATTTTCCAAGCCACCTTTTAAGACAAAAGCTTTCTTTTGCCAATAGTGAGTAGCTGAATGCTAAAAAGCTTTTAAAATCGCAACAGAAAAATACTGACTTTTAGCAAATGTCCAAATATCTTGCAGTTCTTGCTGATATAATTGAAGATATATAGGTACAACAACAAAGTATGGACACAACAGCTTTTTTCGTAGGGATTCTATACAGAGATCAGTTATCTCTAAAGCGCATGGCAGGAAATACAGTTAAGTACTAACTTAATCCCAAGTCAATCCCAAGTCTCTGAGACAGAAAGTCAGCAACATATTATTCTGCTTTTACCTTGGGATTCACCCCAAAATCCAAATCAGTCACCCAGTCAGTTGGAAAAGGGCTAAACCCATAGAAAAAAATCTTTGATCCAATCAAGAATCTGAAAGCTACACACCAGAGCACGTTTTCCCATGCGGTGTGAGGTCATAGCTAGGATAAATCAACGCCTCAGAACATCAATTTTAAATTTGCAAGTGAAGTATGTAATTGGCTTCCTGTTCTCCCAGAGAAAGGTAATAGGAACTACGAAATCTGCATCATCTAGCTAGGTGATGTGGTTCATTGCTGGAAACTGAGCTACTTAGGAAGGTGAAACAAGGGAATTGTGAATCTGAGGTCAGTCTCGGCAACACTGCAAGACCCTGTTTCAAAACAGAATTTTAAAAAAAGGTCTAGGGTGTAGCTTAGTGGTACAGCACTTGCCTAGCATGTGTGAGGCACTGGACTCAGGTCCCAGTACTTGAAAAAATAATGTATCATTTGCAGTGCCTATGTGTGCATCCAGCAAAAAACCCTTTTAGTTCTAATTCATTATTGTCAAGCCATGAATACACAAGTTTGTAAGGAATTCCAAATTTCCGATACCTAGATAATTGTTTATGCTCCTTCATTTTGCTAATAACCCTCAGCTGGCCTGTGAGAGAATTACTCTGACTTTCTGAGAGAATGTGTTTAAATCACAGTGAAAAGGACCCTTTAACGACAACCCTGGATTCACATCCTGACTCCATTGCTCACTGGTCTGGAACCTTACAAGGCCACTTTCCTACACTTCAGTTTTCAAAAAGTCTCAGTGTAGTGGTGAGCTGGGAAGACTGAGATCCACTAGAGAGTATGGGCACAGCCACCAGGAAGCTCTGCTACCATCATCAAGCAGCCTTCTCTCGCTCACCCCAACACTGTTCCTGTCACAGAATTTCTTTTATCCTGCCAGCAATTCTGTTACTTTCTGTGTGTTAATTTTAAAATACCTCAAATAGACAATAAGACACAATTGCTGCTCACGGAGAATTTGCATGGCCCAGGTTTTCCTAGAAAGGTGATTTGTTTTAAATGACTACTTGCCAATCTTAGGAATTTGAATTCCAAAAACCTATCTCCAGAAACACAATAGAAGCAGTTTGTTTCATTATGAACTTACCAATACCCATGATAGATGGATCACATCCAGATGCAAAGTAGCCCACAATTCTTGCCAGTGGTGTGAAGTTATGTTTTTTAACAGCATCTTCACTAGCTATGATAACCGCTCCAGCACCATCAGATACACCCTTGGGGGGGGGGGGAATAGTGGACACATGAACTGGTAAAAGAGTTCAGTGAAAGTCTGAAAGTAGTATTTATTTTTTAATTTGGCAGTACTAGAGTTTGAGCCTAGGGCCTCACACATGCTAGGCAAGCACTCTACCACTGAACTACATTCCTAGGCCCTTTTGTTTTGAGTCAGGGTATCACTGAAGTGCCCAGGTGGGGCTTACAACAGCAATTTTCCTGCCTCAATCTCCTCAGTAGCTGGGATTTCAGCCATGTGCTCCTGTGCCTGGCATGGCATGGTATTTCTAATGGAATAGCATGGCACGCAGGAAGTGGTGGCATAATTCTGGATACAACCTGTAGTACTATAATCCATTGTGGGGATTACTTTAGGCTCAGAATAGAACTCCATTGAAGGACGACAGGAAAGGATGTCACAGATGTGGATGGTATAAAAAGAAATCTGATAAATTGCATACATATAAAAGAAAAAATCTGAAAAATAAAATAATATACCTGGAATATTTCCTTTTCAAATTTGGAAAGACTAAGAATTAGAAGAGTATCAGGGCCCCTAGCTAAAATATTTTGGGTTGCACTAGTAAGCCTGAATTAACTGAATAAGAAGCCCCAGTTTAAGCTAACTATACACATAAGCATGAAAGTATCTAAAAGAGGCCCCCAAGTTCATTTTGCATGGAACACAGCAGGAAGAATTTAAGGTGATATGGGGTGACACCAACCGATGCGTTCCCCGCAGTGACTGTCCCTTCCTTCTTGAACACCGGAGGGAGTTTCTGTAACTGCTCCAGGGTTGTCTGGGGCCGAGCGTGCTCATCCACTTGCATTGTCTGTTTTCCTTTCTTTGTCTTCACTTCAATTGGCACCATTTCATCATTAAAGTAGCCGGCATCATTAGCTGAAATAGAAGAAAGTCTACCATAAGAAGGAAAACCAAAACAGAGAAATAAGAAAGGAATCAAATAAGTTTGGATTTTTAAATTTTTTTTTTTTTGTGGTACCAAGGATCAAACTCACAACCTTGTGCTTGCCAAGCAGGCACTGCTGAGCTAAATCCCCAGCCTGAAAAGAATCAAATAAATGCTTTGATTTAATTTCTGGTCCATCTTCTGCTCATGTGAGCCTTTACTACTTACAAAACTTGCCTTTCCCCCTGGAGGATTTAATGTACTTGGTGAGGATCACAAACTCACAATGGTTAGTTTTGTGTACTTCCCTAAGGGATGATGAAATGGAGGCTTGGGATTATCAATACCACCCATTTGAATTTTCCCATTGACTTTTCTTAGCACAAGATCATCTACCCCCTCTTGAGTCATCCCAGGATTATACTCCAGAACAAGACCTTTTTAGCATATGATCATCTGTGCCATGTTGAGTCTGAGTCTTCTGCCAAAATGGAATCTTTCACTAGTCCCACCATTACTATATACAACGAATAAATAGTGGGTGTTTTGGAGCGTGAGAGAACCCATCGGGAGACATTGACCTCCCAGCCACTCATGTGTTACTAAACTTGTCAATGTTTTTTATTTTCTCGCTGTACCTTTAACACAGACAAAGTGGGACTCTTCACTGGGTCCCTGATTCATACTGTCATGCATCTATCAGATGCTGTTACAGTCATACATCATGTCCACTAGAGAAGTCTAGGAGCTTAACTAAGTGACTCAGCAGCTCTACATCCTGGGGTGTAGAGAACAAGCTGTTACCATTCTAGTGCCAATCTGAGAAGGTCAGAAGTTTAAGGGATTCAGCAGGAGGCCAGGGTCCCTAGTTTGTACCATCTTCAGCCTTTATAAGAGGAGGGCACCCAGATGGTATGAGTGCTACACCCACTCGAGGGGAGCAGCCTGCATACAACAAAAGCCGAATGAGGAGGGACTGATTGCTGCTTCAGAGGAGCTCCAGTCTTTGCCTTTGTTTTGGATATGACATCCTGGCTTCTGGCTCAGATTGTTTGGCTTCTGCCTGGGACTCTTCCACCTTCTATCGTAGATTCTTCAGTGATCCACTGCAGATGCATTGGCCTTCTGATGCAGACTTGCATGGGACACTGCAGTAAGCTTCAGTCCTTGGGCTGGACCATTCAACCTCTAGCATGCAGACACCCTCTGCACGCTCCCTCAACTGACTTTGTGGCTGACCACTGTAAGCCAATCTTGTAATTTCTTATTCATTTGTATATTCTGTATTATATCTGTTTCTCTAGAAAGCCTTGACTGATTACAGATATATTTTGCTCTTTTTAAAAAATTATTGTTTTTTCTTTCTTTTTTTTTTTTTTTGGTACTGGGTATCGAAATTACGACCTTGCGCTTGCCAGGCAGGCATTTATGTCACTGAGCTAAATCCCTAGCCCAAATTATTGGTTTTTTATTTTGTATTTTTTTCTTATCAGGTACCACTAGACTGTTAGGAGTATCAGTCCATTAGCTACAGATGAAGTGGTGCTAAATAGATTTAACTTCCTTTAGGTGAGATAAGGAGTTAATTAAAAAGTTAACAAGTTGTATATGCTGCCAGGTGATCTATAACTGAAATTTAATGCACAACTTGAAAATTTTACGAGTTGTCACCAACACAAGTACACACATAAAAATCTCCACTAGAATGGACTACAGTAATCTATAGTTTCAAAAACAGAGTAAGTCAGAAATAATACAACCTTAATTTTGATAGTATTTTACAGTAAGCAAAATAGTTCCTTTGCATTCCTTTATTTGGTTTTAGAGCAACCTTATTAGGTAAATAGGCAGAGGAAACATTGTTACCTATATTTTATAGATACTCAGTGAATAAATGACAAGGTCAGACAACCTGTAGCTGGTAGAATTAAAAACACAACTGATAACTCCCAACCTCTAGATCAATACTGTTCTACTAGGAAAAAACCAACAATAAAATATTACAAAATATAGATAAGGTGAATAGTATAAGCTCCAATTTACTTTCCCTCTGAAATGTAAGATGGACTGCAATTTCATTACTTCAAGTATTTAATATCCTAACTAACAGTTTCCACTTGCTTATCACAACTTTAGAAATTCTTTTCATGATCCAACAGATTCTTTCATCTTGCTACACTTATGAGGTGACTACCGTCACGTTGTTCATTTGGAGGCAAGGGCATTATAGTCAAGGTTTTGCACCAGTCAAGTCTGAATCTGGCCTAATGATTCTCCATCTGGAGTGGGAGGAGGCAGAGGAGGACACTCATGTCTTTTCTCAGCGTCTCTTCCACTTCTTTTTGTCTTTTTTGTTTTTATCGATACCAGGAATTGAACTCACGACTGCCTGCTTGCAAGGCAGGCGCTTATGCCGCTGAGCTAAATCTCCAGCCCCTCACTTCTTGTGATTACATGATGGTTGTGGGAAAGGACACCCTGTGTACCAGTTGTGACAGTGAGTAGTCACCTTTGATGGGTCTACTGCATGCCTCAGTATGCTATACTGAGTCAAGTGTCTACCCAGGGCCAAGGAACAACATGTTTTAAGTAGTTTTAACATCTTTTAAGAGAAATTGCCAGTTAACTTTGCAATATTAGAATAACTGATCATCTAAAAACAGTAACAAAATGTGATTTTTCAAAGGTATCAGTTAAACTATTATTATAGGTCATATTACAGGATGTTAAAAATCCTAATATGCTATCGTGTGTGTGTGTCTACATACGCTACTAGGGACTGAACTCAGGGCCTTTCCCACTGTTGGTTTTTTTTTGAAACAGAATCTCATGAAGTCAGTAAGTTACCCAGGCTTGGCTTGAATTTCTGATTCTTCTGCTCCAAGCTCCCAGAGAGACAGGATTATAGGTGGTTGCACCATGCCTTGGTTTCATCATAATTTTAGAGCGTGAAAATCGTTCCTTTTTTTTTTGGTATAGATACTGATAGCCAAGTCATTTCACTGACCTGCTTTCCATCTCTGCTGTGACTGCAGGGCGTATTTGTCACAATCTTCTCTGCTAATTTTATGTTGTACTGCAAGATTCTCTGCAGTCAGTGCCATGGAGAGCTTAACATGTGGATCTGTTAATCCTTCCCACAGAGAATCTTCCAGCTAAAAACAAATTAGCGAAAGTAATTTGTTAAGGCATTATCTTTTGAAATTAAAATGTTGTAATTTCTTTAAACAAGCAACAATTCCAACAAACACAGTAAAATGAGACTTTCTGATAACATTTGTTATTACTATTCATATTTGGTTCTTGGATTAAAAAATCCATTTAAAAACTCAAATGCCTTTAAATATGGAACTCTAAAGAGAACCAAAAGTTAAGCATGAGAAGTAAGAATGTAGGAAATTATGCCACAATAAAAAATTAAATCCTCAAGATTATATCCATAAGCACCTCACAGAGTTCTTATGAAATGCTTTCCTATAGCCATCTCTGTAAAGTAGTTGTGTGAAGTCTGTAGGAAAGAAAGGATTTGTGCTCCTTTGTTGTCTAAGGCTTCAATGACAGGTATATCTGGTCCTAGCAGTCACTACCAGGCTGAAAAGAGCCAGGGATAGAGTCTCTATGTAACAGAAAGATTGCTAATTATTATCTAAGTAGTTAGAGTCTCTATTAAGTGTATCTCATAGGCTGCCTCATCACTTTTAGAGCCTCTGACCTTTCCTTGTGAAGGATTTCTTAAACATACTTAGTGTACAAAATATTGCTAATATATTCCTATTTTCTAAGACTTTTTCCTTCTGGGTTTAAAAAGAGCCAGTTGAAAAACTGAGTGTACAAGATGTTAAAAATCCTAATATGCTATCATGGGAAATTATGTTATGTTATCAGTATCAGAAATTATTATGTTATCAGTATGATCATTCTCAGGTCACGGTTATGAAAGACAGAAAGATCAGTTTTTTATCTGTCTGATTTAGGACAATATAATCGTATTTAAAGACGTGTTTCTGTGATGAAGAAGAAACCTGTTCACTGGAGAGTGTTACAGAAATACAGCCTCTGCAAATCATGATAAAGTTTTAATTACTCAGAATCCTACCTGTTGAATACAGATTAATTTACCTTTTGTCTATTTTGTTTTGTTTTGCTTTGTTTTTAGAGACAGGGTCTCCCTACATAGTTGAGCCTAGCCTTGAACTCACTATGTAGCTTAGCTGGCCTGAACTCTCAGTGATCCTCTTGTCTCAGCCTCCCAAGTGCTGAATCAGAGGTGTGCACTGCCACACCTGGGGCTCTCTGTCTTTTAATCCATTTCTCATCCTCTATATTTCCTATGCCTATGCCTACTTCCACTTGTTAAATCTAATTCCATGGTGTTCTAATAAGTGTTGTGAAATAATCTGCAAAGTTGAATCCTCACATGTTGCCTGGTACTTGATAAACAACAAGGGTTTCAAAGTTAGTTTTCTCTTCATGAAAAAGTTATGGTTTAAAAATCACTGATATGATATAGCTTAAGAAATAATTTTTAAAATTTTTAATGGTTCTAACCTTGAGATCAAATCCAAATCTGGTTCCAAAACGCATGTTTCTGACACAGAAGGGAGCCTGGCTCATGCTTTCAGTTCCTCCACACAAAACAACTTCAGCATCTTTAACACAAATTTCCTGTTTAAAAACAATGATACCAAAAAAGCCCATTTATTGTGCCCTGAGTATATATTCAGAAGTACACTTATCTTATAAATTAATGGCAATTTTAATAAATACTGTAGCCTAGTTTACAGTGTTTCAAAAGAAAATACCTTAACGTACTTGTAAATTCAGTGTTACAGTATTCATTCCCAAGATGTAAGGGGGGAGAAAACAAAGCCATTCATGCCTCAGTAATACACCTCCACCTACCTACACTTTGACTAAGAAAGTGCGTGTGCTGAGGACTCACAGGACTGAACCCATGGCCTAACACATAGCCAGACGAGCACTCTACCACTGAGCTACATCCCTAGCCTTGTTTCGTTTTTTATTTTGAAACAAGATCTTGCCAGACTGTCCAGGCTGACAATGAACTTATGATTTGCCTCAGCTTCCCAACTAGCTGGGATTACAGGCATGCACCACTGTTCACAGTTTAAGAACAGTAATTCATAATAATTTATAATTCAATATAAATCTACAATCTGCAGAGATTTTATCTGGCATAAATGTACATTAGATAATAAAGGACAAGCCTATTAGAAAGGCAAAAGGAAAATTTATTCTATTAACAGATACACCTGAAGAATTCCAGAGATTTCTAGGAACTAGGTTGATCTGAGAAATTTAGTAGAAGTAGCTATTTCATCTCTCAATTATTCCTGCTACTTGCACTTCTTAGAAAAGATGCAATCAGTAAGCTTCTGACGTTTAAAAGAATTTTCTTTGGTATTTGTTTGTTTTTTAGACAAGGTCTCATTATGTAGTTTAGGCTAGCATGGACTCACTATATAGCCTAGCTTGGCCTCAAACTCAAATTGATCCTCTTGTCTCAGCCTCCCGAGCACTGGGATTACAAGTATGTACCACCATGCCAGGTCTGATGTTTAAAATTAATGTTAGGAAAATGTATACATTGTAAAAATATTGATTTGAAAATAATCTATTTATTACAATGTATATGGGTGTCATTTATTTTGTAAAGAAAAGACTTTATTAAATAAAATTGGATTTTACTATATTCCTGCACTCAAAGGTATATACATATTTTACCTTACTATCATTTAAAGAAATCATGGTAGTTTGGACTTCTACCAACAGTGTTATTTAGCTCCTTTGTAACAAAAAATATTTTCAAGGGCATTCTTAAATTCTTCAACTCTACTCCTCAATTGCTGTCCTTATTCAATATTCCTAGACTTGGGTTCAAACTCTGCCCCTATGACTTAGTAACCATAATATCCTTAATAACCAGCTTTCTTGCCCAATAAAAATGAGAATAATAACATATTCTTGCTTCACAAGATGGTTGTGAAGTTTAAACTAGATAGTGAATGTAAATCAAGGACTTTGGTAGAGTGCTTTCTTAGCATGGGGGAGGTTTTGAATTCAATTCCCACATACACACAAAACTATAGTCATGACTGGCTTTTAAAAAATAGTGTAGCAAATATACATAAAACCTATCATTTTAACTGTTAAGTGCTCAGTTAAGTAGCACTAAATATACTCACATTGCAGTATAATCATTCTTATCATTCATCCATAGATCTACTTCCATCTTACAAAAGTAAAATTCCACACCTCATTAAACATGAATCTTTTTTTCTCCCCTCTCCCAGTCCCTGAAAACTAGCATTCTACTTCACTGCCATGAATCTATTTTAGTACCTTGCGTAAGTGAAATCATATAGCATTTGTCCTTTTATGACGTTATTCCACTTGAAGCTTCTACTTGAATAGTATCAAATATTTTTCCAAGAAAAGTCAAATTTTATCTCATCTAACAGGTACTATAAAAAGCTAAAATGTTCTATTGAAGTGGAATATTTATTTTTGTAACTCTTACAATAATGTTCAGAGATTTAAATGAAACGTTGCTCATACCTGACATCCGTTCACGATGGATTGGAAGCCAGAGCCACACAGCCTGTTGACAGTGAGAGCCGGGATTTCTTTTGGGATTCCCACTCTTAAACCAACATGTCTTGCTAAGTATATAGCATCTGAAGAACTCTATACCAAAGAGATGGACAAGAAAAACAATTTCCTCTATTAACTCAGGCATTTAGAACAAGCACAGCCTCACTGTCCTATAGCATTATCTGAATGTTGAGCAGGCCGCTAGCACCGTGAAGTTCTGGACTTTGAAGCATGTATTTGACCACCTATGGGAAACTGTTACAACATAGCTGTGATGCAAAAATATCCAAACCCTATGAACTCAAGTATGGTCCAAGCTGATATGCTGGTCAGACACGCAGATCCTTATGGAAAGGCGCATGGCCACAGACTTCTCAGCAGAGTAGGGAATGGCTTCTGTTGTAAGCAAGAACCAAAACATGTGTGCAAGAACATTCTGTATTTGATACTGTAAAAGTACTTGGAAAAATTGGTATCCACAGTCAGTCTTCCTAAGATAGAATGTTAAAGCTTTTCAGACATTGGAACTTTCCCTGGCTGTGGGACCAATCCCAGAACAAAGCAGAGCCACCTTCTAGGTACACACAAACTGCCTCACGGCTGCAAACTAGACCTGTGTGCATGAGGAACTCACTTTAAAAGAAGAAATTGTAAAGTTGTTAAATACATTAATTTGTATAAAATGAATTACCCTGCTGGAAATCACAGTGTTTTGATTTGGTACTTACATGATATTTTTGTAGTGACGATTATCACTGAAGGAATATATGACTCCAACAGAAATGCTATTTTATTGTATCCAAGAGTACTGCATTGGTTTGCCAAGTTTTGTTACTTAGTAAAGGTACTGTTTTCCTTGGATCTGTACTTTATGACTTAGCACACTGTATGTAGGCTGGTTATGCCAATTAAAAAAAAATAAAGTCATTATCTGACTTTAACAGAATACTTAACACTTAAACAGAAGAGCAGCTGTTCACATCTTTCACTATTTCACATCTGCTTAACTTATAAATTGCCATGTGTCAATACCATGGTTCTGACCAGCCAGTCAGCATCTCCAGAGATCTGCACCATGTTGGAACTTAGGGCACTGGGCACCTGAGGAATCTGCTCACCTCCCTGGTAAGCACCCATGGCTCGAGCGAGCGGTGGGCGACCCAGGGAGAGAACCAGCCAGCCAGCATCTCCTGAGATCAGCACCATGTTGGAACTTAGGGCGCTGGGCAACAAAGGAACCTGCTCGCCTTCCTGGTAAGCAGCTGTGGGCAACCCAGGGAGAGAACTAGCCAGTGTCTTCTGAGATCAGCGCCATGTTGGAACTTAGGGCACTGGGCAACAAAGCAACCCACTTGCCTTCCCGGAGGGCAGCCATGAGCCTACTGGCATGCGGGCTGAGAATCAAACATCCCACATCCCCCTTCTCTCCACTGCTGTTAGCAAATGGGAGCCAGAGGTCTGACCATCTCTTGGGAAGATGACCATATGTAATATAGCAAATATGGGAGATTTCCTTCTACCATCTCTTTGAGGGCAAATATTGTTACCACTGTTTTGCTTTGTTTTGATTAATTATATTGCTCTATTTAATACTCTGTTTTAATAGGTTTTATGATGTTCTGTATGTGGTTTGATTTTGCTATACCGGATTGAAAGGACAACTATTGTGAAGATAACAAGATATACTATGGCACCTATCACTGTTATCTCAGTATCCTGCTAAGAAGTTCTGTACCAATTGTCTTGATTGGCTTTATTCTGTCTTGTTCTATTGTATTTTACTACTTTCCAAAAAAAAAAAAAAAAATCATGGTTCTACAGCTGCTAAGACATGATATGTCAAGTTATTTGAATATATTATTTTTAAAAGTAGTTGTGACCACAAAACACCTTTTTTACATGACAAGCTGTACATCATTTGTATGGGGGAACTGGGGAAGAAAATGAAGTATGTAGTGGGGGAAATGGAATGGTCTATACTAAGTAGGTTTTACTGATTGAAAATCCTTATTTGGGATAACAGGGTGGCTACAAGTGAAAAACAATCCAGTAAATCTATTTTGTTTAGTATTTTTCTGTCAGGCAGTTAACCACTAAATGATATCTTTGCTACTGGAAAATGTTGTGTATAACTTTTTTAAACGGTGATTACCTTTTGCTTTTATTTTATAGTGTGTAGCACAATTAACCTTTAGTTGGGTTTCCTATAAAGAAACAGAACATATCTATAAAACAGCTAACACATTTATAAAAATAGAAACAGAAATAGTACCAAACTTTTAAAATTAGTGTTTTTCTATTTAAATATTGTGTAGCTTTAGAATTCTTAGGACATTTGTAATTATGATAAATTCCTTTTTTCCTTCTTTCAAGGAAGAAAGGTTTATTTGGCTCACAGTTTGTAGAGGTGTCATAGTTAGCTGGCTCCAAGACAGGGTGACACATGGTACAGGGGCATTTCAGAGGAGGAAGAGTTCATGGCAGCAAAGTAGTTAAAACACAAGGCAGCAAGTAATTATGCTAAATTCCAACAAGGTTTCTGATTTTTTTTTTGTAACCAGAGATGGCTTTTACGATAGAAATAATATTGTAGCTAAAAGAATTTGCTAAATACATGTTAAAATTTGACAAAAAGTGACTTGTATAATTTTTGTAAATTATATTTGTTCTAAAAAAGGTATTATGCCTAGTGATAAATTATTTTTAAACCAATCTTTATCATATCCTTTGCTTGATTTTTACTCTGACCTAATGATAAAGCATCTATAAATTTTCATCTTCCAAGCTAACTACATCTATTTAAATATTTGACGATTCATGGCTTCTATTAAAATATGAACAAGTTCACAGCAAGTTCACTGACAGGACTAAAGTGGAATAAAGTGTGGAATTAGAGCTGTTAAACCTATTATCCTATTTAATATTAAGATGAACTTATAAGAATTAAAATGGTCTTTGCTAATAAAGACTTTCTTTTCATCATTAAAAAAACAAGCACAAAAGACATGGAAATGTTGGCAACCTATCACATACGATAAACTATAAAATTCTGAAGTAGGATACAATGCATATAATTATGGCACATTTTATGTGATATGTGCTGATGATTTGAATAGACAATTGTGATTTTTGCATTTTTTATTGAAATAAAATATCTATCACATAAATATTACCACCTTAAACATTTTAAGTGTGATATTTAAAAATTTTGTAATATGGAGCTGACATTGAGAAATTGAAATAGAACTCGAAAAATTAGGCTTTGGAAGATCCTGGGAAGATGGCAGAACAGTAAGCAACAGAGTAAACAGCCTTTCTGAGAGAAACAGTCCAGAAGCTGGATTATATAGCATTCTGGAGAAGACAAGAAGGAAGGAAGTAGGTCCCCTCAACCGGGAAGAACCTAAAGTGAGAACTGAAGTCCACAGAGAGAATAAAAAAAAAAGAAAAAACTTAAACAGAAGAAGGTGGTAGCTGATGGCGCTTTTACCGGAGCAGAAACCACCTTGTGAGAAGTGCTGTTGAAACATGGGGATGCATGGTCACATTAAGCTGGGGGGTGGCAAGCCCAAAGGCCTCTCTGGGAGATGTGGTGGCAGAGGGGAGCAGCAGACTGGAGAACTGCACTGGCTGGTGGTGAGTGTGGAGGACTCAGTCCTCCTGCGGGAGTGGGTGATTGACTGGGGGCCATTTTGGAGTCCAGCAGGATAAGCCCGGAGCCAGAACTGCAGCTGGCTTCATTCAGCCACTCCTAGCTCAGAGAAGACTGGTGGAAATTGTTTGGACTGAGTCTGCACCTCTATGCCCAATCCAACAGCCACCATGGAGGTTTCCCTAAAGCTAATCCCAACCAGTTCTGCCTGTCCTGCAGCATACTAATGTGGTAAAGGCTCCCTGTGGTTAACCAGCTCAGGAGGGAGGCCACAGCCTGCCCTGCCCCTGCTTGCACTCCATCAGCCACCTATAGCCCTATACCAGTGCATCCAATGGTCACCTTATGATATCCCTAGCCAGCACACTTCAGAGAAATTCAAACCAACACAGGAAGTGCCAGGGACCCCACTACCCACTTGTCCAGAAGAAACCAGGAACATGCCAAGAGGAAGAAGCAAAAGGCAGTCTCTGGCCTCCAACCCAAGCAGAACTGGTCCAGGAGATGTAAACACAGAAGAGATCGAGTTGCATACCTGAAGTTTCTGAAGCAACAGCAACTGAAATAAAGAAACAACTTCAAGAGGCTATAAAGGAACTTAGAACAGAAATACTACCTCAGGAAAAAGAACAAATGAGAAATATAATAAAATAATTGCTAAGCACCTTAAAGAAGATACAGATGCAAGAATAGAGGAATATAGAAAAATGAGGGAAACCTTTAATGAAGAATATAAAAAAGATTTAGAATACATGAAACAGATTTAAAGAGATTACCAGGAAATTAAAAACTCCATTGAAAGCTGGCAAAACTGCTTGAAAGAAACTAAAGACAGACTATCAAACCTTGAAGACAGGTTTGCAACTTGTGATCGTGAAAGGAAAGAGCTCTTAAAAATAAAAGGAATCAGGAAGTAACAATGCAAAGGCTAGAAGATGATGAGAGGATCTGTAACTTAAGAATAAAAGAAGCAGGGGTAAACACAAATGAAATACAAAGGCTATTTACAGAAATAATTAAAGAAAACTTCCCAAGCTTAGGAAAAGGAAATAATATTCAGATAAGTGAGACATACAGAACTCCAGCCAGCTATAACCAAAACAGACCTATGCCCAGACATATAATAATCCTAAAAATTCAACACAAGAACAGAATATTAAAAGCTGTCAGAGAAAAGAAACAGATCACCTATGAAGGAAAACCCATCAGAATCACGACAGACTTCTCAACATAAACCATCAAATCAAGAAGAGCTTGGAGTGAAGTATTCCAAGTCCTGAAAGAAAATAGCCTCCAACCTAGGCTGATGTACCCTGCAAAACTACCTTTCAAAATAAATGGAGAAACAAGATGCTTCCATGACAAAGAGGAACTGGGAGAGTTCATGACCGCCAAACCAAACTTACAAAAAATACTGAAGGACATTCTAGAGAGAGAGAGAAAAAAGACCATGGTTTTGGGAACAGTGGCAGAGGGGGCTCACTGAACAGGGCAGACAGTGGAATGAAGACAAAAAGTAGACAACCAACGGCAGAAAAATAACATGGCAAAGATGAGATAGAGGAGGTTGGCCATACTCACTAATATGGATGGCCTCAATTCACCAATAAAAAGAAACACAGGCAGAGTGGATGATGAGATAGGATCCATCAATATGCTTAATATAAGAAATACATTTAACCTGACAGGGGGTTTAGAGACTGAAAGTCAGAGATGAGAAAACAATGCTCTGTGTGACAGGGAACCAGAAAAAAGTGTGGGTAGCTTGCCCATCAGCTGCACAAAGCCACAAAGCCACAGCACTTTTATACAATGGAAAACTACTCAGCAATAAAGAAATAAAACCTTGAGGCTCTTGTAGGTAAAAGGATACAACTTGAGATCACGCTCATGGGTAAAAATGTTCAAAATCAGGTGAATAGCGGGTTGCCTCCCTAATATAAAAACTAAAGGAGTTAGTGGGATCCAATATATACAATACATCCTGTGAAAGTGAAAGGGGAGGAATTGTCTAAAAAGGGAAGGTAGTGGCCAGTGTTAATCTATTATTATGATTTGAAACCCATATTGTTTTCATCATTCTGTTTAGTTTGGTTTTATTGTTTCAGTTTGTCTACTTGTATTAGATTTAATGGCATGGACAGCTATTCCAAAGATAGCAGGATATATTACGGTTACCATTTTTGATTTCCTATTAGCTTCATTTGAAGCCCTGTATTGCTTTCACTGTTTTGTTTTGACTGATTTTATTCTATTTTGTTTTGTTTGATAGTATCAAGTCTGATGGTATAGGCAACTACTTTGAAGACAGTAAGATATACTATGATACCCATTGTGGTTTGACTATTATCTTCTTTTGAAGGCCTATAATATCTCCAATGTTTTGTTTTTATTGGTTTTGTTCTGCACTGTTTTGTTCAATTTTATTATGCCTAATGATTTGGGCAATTCTTTTGAAGATAATAAGAGGCATCATGGGAGCCATTATTGATCTCTTTGTATTTTAAGTCATGTACCACATGGATCCTTTTGTTTTTACTGACTCTATTTTGTTTTGTCTCATTTGGTTTTATTCAAAATAAAAAAAAAAGAAGAAAAATTAGGCTTTTAAAAGTTAAGCTATTTGTCCAGGTTTCCTCATGACAGCCATGGTGCCAAGGAAATTTCTTTTTTTTTGTCTTTTTCCTTTTTATTGGTACCGGGGATCGAACTCACGACTGCCTGCTTGAAAGGAGGCACTTACTCCGCTGAGCTAAATCCCCAGCCCGCCAAGAAAGTTTTGATAGAACCAAAACGTTTTCCTGGACTCGAAAGCCTGACTGATTTTACATGCATGAATTTCCTGTATTTTGTTCTCTCTGATAAATGAAAGTGCTTCTGTGCATTTGAACGCATCATACTAGCTTGACTTCCTATTTGACCAATTTGTGAATAAAGATACTTTTCCATTTGTATGGAATTCTCTTGTACGCTCGACAAGAAGTAGGTGAACAAATTCAGGTAGTGGGGACACACAGATTCAGATTTCTGGTCAGATCCCTGTTAATACAACTATAGTCAATTGGATATCACACATACATATCTGCTGTGGTTTTTGGATCACGGGTGCATGATACTCATCAGTGAATCAGTCCACTAAGGTGTTTACAGCTAAATGTAATTTGGGAGGTGAAGTCTGGGAGGAGGTGGGTCACTGACAGTGTGGCCTACAAGAATCTATTTTTCTCCTCCTTTGATCACTCTCTGCTCCCTGCCTACAGTGTTAGGAGCTGTTTGTCCTCTGACATGCTGCTCTGCCTTGGTGCCAGCTGACTATGGACTGAAACCTCTACAAACGGTGAACCAAATTAAACCTCTACTTCTTTAATTTGTGAGTGTTGGGTTAAGGTTAGTGTCTCACAAGGAGAAAGTAACTAAGATACTAAGTATGCTTGTACTTGAAAAATCATTCTATTAAGTCTGTAAGACAGACTGTAACAATTAGAGCTGTTTAAAGAACAGGCTGAGGTTCTCAATCTTGATTGTAGACTGGAATAATTATAGAATCTTTATTAACATATTTGTGTTTAAACTCCTGATTGAACCAACTAAACCAGAAAGGGTGAAGGCAGGACCTGGGCAATAGTCTATCATGTAATTCTATCATGAAACAAACTGACAAATGCAGACTTGGGAGTTCAGAGGGTAGATGAACAAATGGTCAGGAGAACTAGCACAGGGACTAAATCACTGCTTCCTGAAATGAATTTTGGGGCATCTCATTAAAGTGCAAGTTGTGAATCAATAGTATAGGGCTGCCTCAGATCTTGCATTTCTAACCATTTTTATTGTTAGTCCAAGGATAATATTGAGTAGACTTTGAGCAGAAGAGATGAAATGACTTTTAAAAAAGAAACAAATAGGACAGGCTTTAATAAAGAAAACTAAAATAAATTTGACAAAATTTGAAGATTTGGTCCACTAAGGTAAAAATATTAAGGTACTTATTAGACAAGCCTATTAACTTCTGTAAAGGTTTGAAGTTTTTCAAAATAAGATTCAATGAATTTCTTTATATTTATAAATTAGAGGTTTGAATGCAGATCAAAATGGGAAAAGCTCAATAAAACATCCGTTAATCCATTGACTGTTTCATTCCTTGATGGAGATGAAATCATCTTATTTTATAAATTAATGTTATTTAAAAATTCTTGGTCAGTGGTTATTCTTTTCTCAAGGTCTGTGTTATAATTACAAATCTTATAATATTCCATCCTGTACAGACTGGTAAAACAGATGTTTCAGAGAAACTATCATCATACTTAGTAGTGATGCCACACTTGATGTCTTTTCTCTGACATCAGAAATAAGATGGGCATAAGTAATTTCTTGTCACTTCCATTCCATATCCAGGATTTTAGAAAGATCAAGTAAGTAGTCAATAAAAAGAAGTAAGAAGGAGCCAGATTTCATTGTTTCCTAAAAAAAAAAGTAAAAACTCTTATTCTAAGTGACATCAAATAATATTTAACTTATTGGAAAAATGACTTTGAGATATTTGTCAAGTATTAGTTGACATCCATTCTGTTTTCTTCTATATATAAAAGCCTAACCCCAACTGTTTATCTATTAAAAACATAATACCTTTTTCAGGAAATCTTATCTTGGCCTGTCACAAAACTTAGTGTAAGAAAGACTGTCTGTAGAAAGAGGTACAAACACAATGAAACTGTTACTAATTATAGTGATTTTGTTGTAAACTTTGAGGAAAACTAGAAAGATTTTAGAAGAAATAAAGTCCCTTTAAAATAAATTCTAGGAAAAACAACAAAAACAAAACCCCCAGAGTACCTTACTTCTATGTGATCTTTAATAATGCTTTATTAGGTCAGATGTCAAAGTCTCCCCAATCAAAAAAGAAATGAAACAAAACACAATGGTGAAAAGTTGAACAAATACAAAGAATTCTCAGCTAGGCTTGGTGGTAGAAGGATTATGAGTTCAAAGACAGTGTAAGAAATATAGCAAGACTCTGCCTCAAAACAAAAACAAAAACAAAAAACAATCTTCATGAAAATATCTTAGGTCCAACAGACATAATTATAAAAGAAAAAATAAAAAAAAACTCATTGTTTTTCAGTATGTGAAGATACCTAATGGCATGATGGCTAGATTAAAGCTCAAATTGAAGATCTAGTGCCTTTCTGTGTCCACTGTATTCTCTTTTCTTTAGTGGTGATCACTTCTTTGGCATCTTTTGAAAATTATACATCATATCCCCATAATTACATTATAATCTCCTTTTGTTCCACTTTGGGTACTTAATATACTTGCATAGCACCTAAAATAGCCTCTGCTAGGCACCCAGTATTTGTATACTTTGAAAGAATATACAGCTCCATGGATGAATATCTGCACAGATAATCTATTTTGTGTACCACACACATCAAAATAGAGGATAAAGGAGCTCCTTGTTTCCCACAACAAACAGACAAAACTCCTAAAATGTGAAAAGTTATGAGAGGCATGTGGTACTGTGTGGGCCTGTCACCCTCCTGCTATAGATTGGATCTGGAGTGTCCCTCAAACACCTAGATTACAAAGGCTTGAGCCCAGCCCACTGCACTTCTGGGCGATGGTGGAACCTTTTGGAAGGGGGCCTAGTGGGAGGAAGTTAGGTTGTTGGGGGCATTCTCCTTCCTGTATTTTTGTTTCTCACTGCTGTGAGGTGGACAGCCCTTTTCCACCACACACTCCTATCATGATGTATTCATGGCCACAGGTTTCCATACTGAAACCTCTGAAACTTTGAGCCAAAATAAACCTTTCCTCCTTTTAAATTGATTATCTAAGGATTTTGTAACAGTAATGGAAAGCTGGCTAACATAACTCTGTAGGTGGCATCCCAATCAGACATACCCAATTCCCAAAATATATGTTGCTTTGACTCATCACTTCTGGAGTCAAAGGATTACTCATATTACATATTTCATGAACTGGTAACTATTAGTAACTTATTTATTGTGTGACACAGTAATTATTTTTAGAAAATGATCATGGTAAGCAACAGACATGTACATTGCCCTCTGCCCTACTAACCTGCATGACATTTCCTACAATGACACTGTTAATGGTCTCAGGTGGGACTTTGCCAGCAGACAGAGCAGCCTTGGCAGCAAACTCAGCCAAATCAGTAGCAGTGTAGTCTTTCAGAAGACCTCCATAGGCTCCAAATGGTGTTCGCTTAGCAGCAACAACAAAGACACCTAATGCAAGAAGAGATTTGTAAGCAAACACAGATCAGTCGGTATCTCTTAACATGCTTCAATCTTACTGTGAAACCTTACTGTAAAGAACAATTTTCAGTTAATAGTCACTGTTTATTTTTGTAACAGTAGTTTTGCATCATTTTTCTTGACTCTTTCCATGTTTTCTTTCTAATTTCAGTGGTTCTACTTCTAGTCATGGACAAAAATGCTCTGATCTGACCATAGACAATGAAATATTCCACACAATAATGAAAGAAAAACTATATCAAGGTCCTAGAAATGAACAAAAGTAGGCCGGTATGAAGACAACTGATACTTGGAAGAAAGGAACAGTACAGAATGAATTTCCCACTTATTTATTGAAAGCTAACAGTCCATCCTACATGGGTTGACTAGAACTTTGAAATACGGTCATAACAGCATTAAAATTCAGAGAACAAATTCCATATAGCTACAGCCATTGGAAAGTGATGAGAATCTGAAAAACAGGAGCACCAAGGAGGAAGAGCATAAATTTTGCATAAAAATGCCAAATATCTGACACATGAACCGTGCATTGTGGATCAGAGAACAAGTATCTCAGCCAAATTTAAAAACACTAACCTTAAATTTGAGCGCTGCCTACCACAGGGAAAGACATAGTTTGTAGTATGAGTTCTGTCATAATAGCTGCTTGCAAAAAGTAAAGGCCTACTGTTACGATTGATGCACTGTGTTAACTTCAGAAACTTAGAAGTTTAACCAATAGACTCAGCAGGGATTCAGGGTCTTTATTTTGTAAATATCCTCAGCCTGTGCTAGAGCAGAGCACAGACTTGGTATGAGTGCTACATCCACTTTGGTGGTGGTGGGGTAGGCTGCTTAATGAGAAGAGGCTTGTTCTCATCCCTTTTGTTCTGGCTGCATTTGCTGGCTGCTGCCTTGTAGTGTGGCCTCAATGCCATGCCACCTTGCCTTGGAACTAGCTGATTATGGACTAAAACCTTCAGAAACAGTGAGCTAAATAAACTTTCCTTCCTTCATTTGGGTGTCAGGTATTTTGTCCCAGCAACAAGAGAAATGTAACTGACACCAACCAATAAGTCAATAGTCTTCCAAAGAACAAAACAATTCAGTTTCTAAAAAGTTTAATCTGCTATATCCATAATACAATGAAACATTAATACACATTAAAGAAACAAGAAAATATGACTTGCTTAAGAGACAGAGTCCAATGGAGACTGATCCCAGAATGCAGGTGATGTAATTAACAGAGAAGGATTTTTAAAAACAGCTATTATATTTATGCTCAAGGACATAAAAGAAAGTATATGTACAATAAGAGATAGGATATCTGTCTTAGTTACTTTTCTCTCTCATTGTTGAGACAAAATACCTGACAAAACTTCCTTCCCAAAGTTAGGAAAGGAAAGGTTTATTTCTTACAGGTTGGAGGTTTCAGTCCATACTGAGTTGGCTGCAAGGTAAGATGACACAGCTGAGAGGCAGCAGTTCACGGGTGCCACAAACAGTAAGCCCGCACAGCAAAAGAGAAAAAGACATGCCTTGTTCCTGCAGTTACACTGTATGCTGGCTCCACCCCTGGGCTGTGTAGCACTTATACCACAATCTGAATGTAAGACAACAAACCAATCACAAATGCTAGATTTGGCCATGTCCATGATCGCACGAGGCTTGGGGGAACATCTCAACATAAGCCATAACAGTATTTCAGCAAAGAAATAGAAACAAACAAACAAACAAAAAAACGAGTTATAAAACTTTAAAAAAAATCACTGGGTAAATTTAACAGAATGAAAATTAAAGAGAAAGGTTCAAGGACTTTTAACACTGATAAACAGAATATTCAATCTGAAGAAGAACACAGACTGAAAACAAAATAAAGCATAGGCAGAACTACATATTTTGACAAAGAAATATAGGCAACTACTGAAGAAATGACAGTCCAATCAATGGTGCTGGAAAAACTAGATATTTACATTTGGGTGGTTTTGTTTTGTTTTGTTTTGTTGAGACAGGGTCTCACGATGTAGTGCAGGCTGATCTTGAACTCACTTATGTAGCCCAGGTTAGCCTCGAACTCATGGCAATTCTATTGCCTCAGCCTCCTGAATGCTGGGATTATAGGTGTGAGCTACTATACCTGGCAACATCTACATTTAAAAACATTAATCTAGACATAGATTGGGCACTTCTCACAAACATTAATAATGGGTCATATACTTAAATACAAAATATAAACTTACAGAAGATAAACAGGAAAAGTCAATCTACATGTTTGATGATTTTTTAGATATAACACCACAAGCATGATCCACGAAACAAAAACTTGGTGACACTTTATTCAAATTAAAACTTCTGCTCTTCAAAAGACATTGTTAAGAGCATGAAAAGACAAATCATAGTCTGCAAGAAATATCTGTAAAACACTTATCTGGCAAAGGACTTGTATCCAAAATATTTTTAAAAAGCTCTTAAAGCTCAACAATAAGAAAAACGAAGAAAAAAAATCAATTGTAAAAGTGGGCTACAGATCTGAACAGATACCTTATCAAAGAAGTTACACAGACAGCACGTAACCATATAAAAGATGCATGTCATATCACATTAGAGAATTGCAACTTATAATAATGAGCTACATCTACACAATTATTTCAATGACTAAAATCTCAAAGACTGACTATCAAATGTTGGTGTGGAGGTGGAACAAAAGGAACTCATTGCTGATGGGGAGGCAAAGCAGTACAGTACAACCCCTCTGGAAGACAGGCAGTTTCTCATAAAACTGAACACATTCTAACCATACGACTCACCAATTTTGTTCCTTTGCATTTAACCAAATAACCTAAAATCCATACAAGAATGTTTATTCTTAACTGCCAAAACTTGGAGCTACTAAGATGTTCTTTGATAGGTGAATGGATAAAAAACTGGGTGTAGTGAATGGAATATTATTCAGTAATAAAAAATGAGCTATCTAGTCATAAAAAAGGAATCTTAAATGTGTATTCCTAAATGAAGGAAGTCAATCTGAAAAGCTGTCTATTGTATGATTCTTACTATATGTCTGGAAAAGGCAAAGTTATGGAGACAATAAAAAGATCAGTGCTTCCCACAGGTTCAGAAGTAGAAGTGAATTGGTGAAGTTTAGGTGACAATATAATTACCTTCCAAGATGCTGTAATGATGATCCATATTATTTATATATATGTCAAATTCCATAGAACTGAAAACAGAGTGAGTTCTGATATAAACTATGGACTTCAGTTAACAACGATATATAAATATCAGCTCACTAATTGTAACAAAGCTACCATATGAGTGCCAGATATTCATAATATGGGAAATGAGGGTGATTTGAGAGTACATCAGATAATGCCTTGTGCTTTCTGTTCAATTTTTCTATAAACCTAAAATTAGCCCCCTAACAGTTTCTTAATTAAAAAGGGAAACCAGGAATTGTGGCATGCACCCATAATTCCAGCACTGAGGGAGCTGAGGCAGGAGAATCACAAGATCCAGGCCCACCTGCGCAAATCAGCAACATGGTATCACACACACACACACACACACAAAAGCCATGGATGCTGCTCAGTGGAAGAGTGTTTGTGTGCCTTGGTTCTTTCTGTAGTATGTCTGAAAAAAAGAGAAATTTAGGAAAAAAATAGGCGGAGCACTTACGATATCATAGGAGAGTAGGAATAAAAAATAATTTGAAGAAATAATAAATGAAAATTCTATAAATTTGGTAAGAGGTAAAAATTTGTGGATGCAAGCTTCCACAATGCAAATAGAATAACCATGCTCCTATACCTTGGCACATCATTGTGAAATTTCTAAAATCCAAAGATGATAAAAATCTTAAATGCACCCTGAAAAAAAAAAAAGACATATTGCATGCTCATGTGAATATGTGAATCATTGCTATGCATGCAGTATGTCATCTTTTCAGTGTGTTTGAAGTGAGGGCAGAATATCCTGAGGGGGATTAATGTCAATATATCTTTTACTGTAATAAACTTTTAAAAAATTTAAACACTCATTGTACATTTCCATCACACTTCACTGATGTGTTGGGCCCTTATGAAACTCAGCATGGTACCTGCCCAATGTGGCACTGCTCCTTAGAGTGACAGTGTGCCCCTTCAATACTAACTTTCCGTGTCTTTTTCCAAGCCTGAAATTGAGCTTCTTGTTTTTGGTGCCCGTCAGCATTCCTCCAATCAGCTGTCAATACGTCATTCCACCCACCCCCTCAAACTCCACCCCCTATCAAACTTATAAAAGCCCACCCTTCTTTGCCTCAGAGGAATCTTACACTGTTCCGCAGCCTGCCCATGCCTGCAGTAAAGGCCTTTTACTTTTTTCCTGTCTTTGTTTCTGTACTGAACCAAGAAAAACCTATCATTCATAATTTCATTTTTCTCTATAAAGTTCATTAATTTCTCCCCCATATTTCATAATCCAAGAAAATATTTGTGAGAGGCAGACCTAGTAATGCTTATGATGAAATATATATACAAAAGTGCATAATGGAAAATAACAAAAATAATTACGTTCCCTTTACTCATATCACTGCTTTTTACCTTGAAGCTGTCAGCCTTAACTGAATTAATACAATCATTCAGAATGGAAAATAATGCTATTAAGTGTATGTGAAAAAATACTTTGGGCCTCTGTTCTACACCATGTGCTATGTCTATCCTTGGTTTTGACTGACAGCTTTGTTATGCCATATTTGACTGTATTCTCTCCCCCCCCAAAAAGTAATAAGAACTAAGGAGTAATAAAATCCAAAATGTGTAAATTTTGTTGTAAAAAAGAGAGGGGGAAAAAAAAAAGAGCTCTAACGGATATAACAGCAAGTGTGTTTAGGGGTGTTAAATAGCTGACTATATCAATGTTTTTGGATCATTGAACACAGCTGTTTGCAGTCTCCCTGTTTGAATGCCCACTTTGTATTCTTTGATACTGTGATTTGAACAACTATTTTCAAGATGATAATATGTAATCTATTAACAGGTGATTTCTTACTGTTATTTTTTTTTTGTAGTTCTGTATTACGTGTACCCTTATACCGCTTTGTATGTTTTGTGTTTTTCTCTTTTTCCTCTTAAATAAAATTAAAAAAAAAGAAAAAATACTTTGGGATATGCATATATAAAGATAAAGACAATATGAAGTTTTTTCTGGTTATTTCATAAAGCCATTTATTTCATTTATTTTATCTGATACCGAGTTTATGATGGCTATTAAAAGATCTAAGATGTTAACATTTGTTAACACCAAACTAAAATCTTGTTTACAGAAACTTTGTTTAAAAGATTCTAAAAATTCAGATGCTAAAGATTTCCAAAACTTATGACAGTGAAGAGACATTAACTCAGAAAGTCAAACTCCAAGTACAGGCCTGACAAGGTGTATTGATTAGACAGCAGAGGAAAAGCAGTAATCGGAGAAAAACAAGAACTTTGCCCTCATATCTCACATTTCAGCATTTGTTTCTTTTTCTTTCTGAGACTGGTTCAGCGCTTCAGGCTGGCCCTGAGCTCACTTTATAGCCCAGGCTGGCCTCAAACTCCCAACAATCCTTCTACGGCAGCCTCCCGAGTGCTGGGATTTTACAAATGTGTACCACCACGCCTGGCACACTGTCAGTACTGTAACAGCACTGCCAAGTTAAATATTTACTCATATGCAGGGAGCAAATGCAGCAAACTATGACACATTAAGGAAAATTGCTGCTGCTCCTTTTCTGTTTCAGGAGTACAATAATTTAGCAGCCTCTGCTGCTTGCCTGGGGCGGGGGGGGGGGTGTTGAAAGAACCTTCCCAATAAATCTAAGGAATAGTAAATTTAATAATGTATTGGATAGGTGAAAATCTTCCATGAAGCAGTGGATTAGTGCTAAGAAAAATCTAGGGTATTGGCTCTTGTCTGAAATCTGATCAGCTAATGACAATTCTTACCAAAGTTAAATATGGTCCCATTCAAATGCGTCCTTTTCTTTAACAGTCATCAGTCCTGTGCCCTGCTTTCTTATTTTTTTATTCTTTATTTTAAAGAGGGTAAAACTAAACATAACAAAACAGAACAAAGTAGATCAGAAGAAAACAATGTAAGTGGCACAGATTTCAAAGCTATCAACCCTATAAACACTTTGTAAGAAACTTGAGAGAAACCTGCCTTATCCTTAGTGCATTCTAATTAGTATACAACAATCACTTTTTGAAGCTCAAAGGCTTGAGTTCTAGTCATACCACTACCTACCTGTGATATTACAGACAACCCACTTTACGTTTCTGGACATTACTGTCCTTAACTGTAAAGTAGGGAAATCAGGGAAAAATATGACCATCACCTCAAACATTATAAGTAAACTGGGTCACAAATATATAACCTTCCTACTTCTTTTAATATAGGTCCATGTGTCTATTTTTCCCCTTACTTGTTCATTGTTTTCACAAAATGTTCAAAGCAGTCTGGAAAAAGTTAACAACTATTGGTAAAATATTAAAGTAAGTGAGACAGTAAAAAAAATTTTTGAAAAGATACTTCATTATAAAGGCAGCTTCTAAACAAACTGGGTTTCCTGAACACATTTTTTAAAAAATCAACATGCTCCTTTATTAAGTAAACGCAATTAAGTTCTGAATTGAGGACACTGGTAAGTGAAATCCATATTGTAGGAAACTGGACATACTGTATTTGGTGGCAGAATACTTAGCATTTGATTTGTTCACATGCCATATTTTGCTGCTCTGACTTCCAAAGCCCCCTAACCAATGCCTTACCTGATACCCTTCACTTTGGTGCTTCACAGGCATCAAAAACATGGCAGAAAACTTAATTCTGAATCTCCTCTTCCAACTATACCTCCCCTAGTTTTCCTCCTAAGTAGCATCAAGAACTAGTTCAAGCCAGACACCTTTACTCATTCTTTATATTTCCTTCTCTTTAACCCACTACATCCAATTCATGACCTTGTTCTACCAACTGCACCTCCAAATCTGTCAAACCACCCCTCCCCACCCCCTTTCACCCACTCCATCAACCCCACAGTCAACACCACCATTTGCTGTTGCCTTGGACCTCAGTGATAGATCCTTAAAAGGCTTTTTTATTGTCCTAGACCCTGCAGGAAACGAGACACAGTAGAAACCAGACGGTGTCATTGCCCTGCTTTAAATCCTAGTTTTGCCTTCCACTGGATTTACAAGAAAACTTCACCTTCTTTACAGAAACCACTGGTCCTTGGACCATCAAAACGTCAGTTCTTAGACCCTGTGAAGTCTTTTCCTGTCTCAGGGCCTTGATATGTATCCTAGCTGAATATTCTTCCATTGTCTTTGATGACTTATGAAAACGAAGTTTATATAATTTAAAGACAAGTGAATAATTGTAGAAGTGCCTGCACTGCGCTTAGTCGCTCAAACGAAAGTAACAAAAGGGAGGAAGGCAGGTACTACTCAAACAGGCCTTTCCCGCAGAAGCCCCAGCACGCCATCTCCCCAATCCCTAACCTCCTCCCTCCCACTCAGCGCTGAGAGGTAGCCAGGCTACTCCGAACACCTACTGTGCCCCACGCTTCTCGTGCTTTGGGGGACGCCCTGATAGATAGTTAAGTTCGAACTCGTGGGTCACTATTACTCGAAGAGCGACCTCCAAGGTCACAACAAGCTATCCTTGATCTCCATTCAGTCCACAGAAAATTACACCGAAATCGTTGTCGCTGGCACTTTCAAGCATGCTCCTTACTGCAAACAATCTCAAATCTCCCCCAGGACCAAAAAAACACTGAACTTTTCCCACGACCCCTGTCCACTGAGCCCGAAAGCAGAGGATTGACTAGGGCTAGGATCAGACCAGAGGGGCAAGAAGGGTGCCGCGCTCACCTCGGAGCAGGGCCATGGTGGCAACCTGGACCCGCAGAGAAGACCACTCGTTTTGGCAATGTACAGAAGTTTGGAGAAAGCCTGGCTCAGCGCAGGCTCCCGGCGAGGCCACGCCCCTGACTTTTCACCTACTTCCCGCAAGCTCCTCCCCCGGCCCCGCCCCGGGCCCGCTCTGGGATCGCTGCGCTCTTTTCGCCATCCCCTGGGAACCAAGGTTGCCATTATTTCTGGGGAGCAGGGCCAGTGGAAACGTTCATCATTGTGTTTCAGACTTTGCAGCTGCTTCCAAATCTAGAAAATTACTTTGACAACACCCGATACATCTTTACCTTGTCTTGCAAAACACCCTATCCTCTCCCTCCTCGCCCTTAGCCCTTGGATATTGCATAAACTAGGAGAAAAGATGACAAATGCCTGGGTGGAGTAGGCGGGCGCCCGCGCGCTGGGGGTGGGCCGGAAGTCAAGTGGGCGGGGCGGGAGTCGGTGCTTCGGGATTGGCTGCGACATCCCGCGGCTGCGCAAACTGTTGGGCCTAGGTCGGAGGTTTAGCGGGGACCCGGCGGGTATGTAGGTGGCTGGGGCGGCGTGGGCGGTAGGAAAGCGGGGAACAGCGAGTGTAGAAGGACTGCGTTCTCCAGGTTCCCTGAGCAGCTCCCAGTGAGCCTGCAGTATTTTCCTTATATGATCAGGCCCCGTTGTGGGCAGCGCTGCATGCCTGGAGCCTGAGAGGATTATGAAATGTGCCTGGCAAAGTGGAGCCCAGGGACCTGGTGCGGGAGAATTAGAGGTGAAGGCCAAGCAGGTGAGGCTAGGCTAGGAAGAAGTCGAGGGTGACTTCCTCCGTAACGGTGAGCCCTGGCCAATGATGACTAGACCACTGCGCAATCTGAGTTCTGGGAACCAGGTGATGGAGTGTGCTGTAACAGCAGACTGAGGCCGGCAAGCCGCAAGCAGACTGGGCAGAGGTGAGGGGAGAGCACCTGGGAGCCAAGCTTGGACAGCCTGCTTGCCTGGGGCTTGCTTGACAATGTGAGAATAGGTCGTGGGTGGCAATTGCTAGCTTTGCAAACCCTCTGATGCCACTCTTGTAATGTTGACTTTAGAAAAAAAAGTATGGTGAAAACTTTCAAATATGTAGAGGAAAGGAAGGGGTTGTTCAGTAAACACTCTACATTTCCTGTTTCACATCAGATCCTCTGTTCTTCGAACAAATCATTTTTTTTTAAGGAGAAAAAAAAACAAAAAGTAATACAAAATTTAAAAAATAATAAATCACTAGTTAATAGATTACATATTTTCATCTTAGAAATAGTTGTTAAAGTTACAAAATTAAAGCATATAAAGTGGACTTTCAAACAGTGAGAGTGCAGTTTTGTTTAATGATCCAACAAAACTCAGTAATATGGTTATCTATCTTATACACTTAAACATATATGCAGTTATAACCTTTAGAGCACTTTCTTTTCTTTTGTACAATGACAGTTACACATTTTGGGTTTTATCATTCCCACAGTTCTTATTTTTTTGAAGAGAGTAAAACCAAATGCGACATATCAGAACAGTCAGTCAAATCAAAAGGATGGACATAATAGATAATGTAAAAACAAAATACAAGGTGATTAACAAAGGTTACCATACTGCCTCTTGCTATTTTAAGAAGGATTGGCAGTTACAATAAAATTGAACTAAACAGTAAAGAATAAAACCAAAGCATTGGCGACATTACAGGACTTTAAAAGAAGATAATAGTCAACCAAAATGGGCGTCTTAATGAATCTTACTGTCTTCACAGTTGTTGCCTATACTTTCAAACTTGGTACTATCAAGCAAAGCAGAATAGGGGAAAATCAGTCAAAGCAAGATGATGAGAGCAATACAGGGTTTCAAATCAAGTTAATAGGGAATCAAAATAGGTTACTATAATATATCCTGCTATTTTTTATTTATTTTTCCCTTAATTAAAAATATAAGAAAAAAGTAAATAATTTTTTAAAAAAGGGGATTGAGATAAAAGAGGGCATACAACAGAACAGCACAGATCAAAACATAACCATTTAAGCAAAATAGTGTTTCACCACAAGATATCCTGACATAAAAATAGTTACCACAGTGTCTATTTCCTTGAAACCTTTGAGTATAACTTCGTATACTGTAGCACCAAACATATCAAGACACTATAAAACCATTCAAGAAATGACATTATTACAGGGTATTTAGAACCAATTAACAGAAAATGAACAATGGTTTCTGTATAATCTTGTCTATAAAAGTTTTTGCTTATATTATATATGATAAAATCCAATAAGATACTTTGTATGACGGATGGAGGCAGAAGAATACAAGTTTGATGGGACTTCAAGATGATACTAAATCAGCACTAGCTATTATGATGTCTTGTTTTCTCCAAAATAGCTGTTCCTACCTTCCGATCTTTTCTGCCTCATTTCTGTTGAGCTCTTTTTCTGTCGTTTGTTGTCAGTTTGTCTTCTTCATTTTGCTTTCTGCTCCATTCATTGTGGCCTCTCAGCCACTATTTCTGGAATCTTGGTATTTTCCTTTTTTAAAATATCCTGCAGTATTCTCTGTAGAGTTGAATTGGTGGTTGCAAATTCCCCTAGTTCCTCTTTATCCTGGAAACACCTTGTTTTTCCATCAATTTCTAGGGACAGTCATGCAAGATATACCAATCTTGGCTGGAGGTTATTATCTTTTAAAGCTTGAATTATTTCCCCCCACGTTCTTCATGATTTGATGGTTTGTGCTGAGAAGTCTGCTGTAATTCTGATGGGTATTCCCTTGTAAGTGATCTGTTTCTCATCTCTGATGGCTTTTAATATTCTGTTCTTATATTGGATTTCTGGTATTTTGATTATTGTATGCCTGGGTGTAGCTCTGTAGTTGGCTGGGGGTCCTGTATGCCTCATACATCTGAGTATCTTTATCATTTGCTAAATTAGGGAAATTCTCTTGGATTATTTCTGTGAATAGCTTTTGTTTGTGTCCCTACTTCTTTTATGTTCTTAAGTTATAGATCCTCTTATCATCTTCTAGCCTTTGTATTGTTGCTGTTTGTTTTTTTGTTATTTTTAAGAAGTTTTTCATTTCATGCTCCCATATTACAAATCTGCCCTCCAGTTCAGATAATCTATCCTTAGTTTCTTTCAAGCTGTCATGCCAGTTTTCGATAGAGTTTTTAGTTTTCTGGTAATCTCTTTGAACCTGCTTCACATATTCTATGTTTTCTCTATTTTCTCCATCAAACAATTCTCCCCTTTTTTTCTGTTCTTCCATTCCACCATCTGTTTTTTCTTGGGCGGTGCTTAGCATTTCTCTAACTATTCTACTTATATCTTGCTTCAGGTCATTAATAACTTCATTCCTGAACTCGTCTATGAGGCTCTGGAGATATCGCTTTATGTCTATTGGTGCCATGTCTGATATTGCATGTTTCTCAGGATTGAGGGCTAAGGACCCTTTCTTGTTGCTCCCTCTTCCCATATTTTTGGTTCCTGCCATACAAGCATATATAGGAGGTCCAGTTTCTTCCTTTGTCGGTTACAGTTTGTTTGAATTGCGCCGGCTAGGTGTTCCCGCCCACTGCAGTGTACTAGGGAGACACAGACCTGGGCAGCCTATGCTGGGCCCGCCCCTCCAAGTCAACCTATTGAAGGCTTCACCGCTAGGGTGCACCTCCAGGTGCTGGGAACTGGTTTGGGCTAGCTTATTGGATCTTAGTCAGTGGCGTCATCCAAACCAAGCACTCCCCACCAATCCTGCTTGAGAGGGGAGTATGTGACTGAAGTCACTGCAGGGCCCTGTTCCGGCTAGTCTGCCCGGTCCCTGTATGTCCTTTGCTGAAGCCTCCTACTCTATGGAAGGGTCACCGCAGGTTGATGCAGGGCTCCCGGCCAGTCCCACTCTCAACTCCATTCACTACTTCCCATTTTCAGAGCATTTGCGCCTCTCTCCTTGCCGTGCCAATTGGGACACAGCAGCAGCTGTAGGAAATTCAAATCGCGGCTTCCAGTGGCGCGGGCCCCAGCTTCTGTGCTGAGACCTTATCTGTTCCTGTTATATCACTGGGATTGCGTTTCCAGTTAGTTTCTCTTAGTTTAGTTCGTTCCTGGGTCGGCAAAGTATATCTCCCTTGCTTAGGACTTCTCACCCAGCACCATTCCTGGATTTTAAGTGCGGTTTCTCAGAGAGCCTCTGAAGCTACTGCTATCTATTGGCCCGGAAGTCGATCAAATCATTTTTTAAAAATAAGATGATACCTTACCTAATTAACATTTGAGTGGAATATTTATTTATAGTTCTTTTATAGAAAATTTCCATACGACCAGATGTATAAATCTTAAGTTCGATGAGCTTCACAAATTTTAAACTTTTTACTGTTTTTTATTTTATGAAAAAGTAAAAAACTAAATATATATTTATACACACACACACACATACACTCTTGTGCATTTTTCTATTCAATTTGCTCTTTGCCCACCACATATTTAAGAAAAGGTATTATTTCCCCTTCATTCTACAAATCATCATCAGCAAATGTGTGAGTCCTAAATGTATTGAGTGAAAAGTTGACATGTTACATGTAAGGATGTTTACATAGTCTTGGTATCAGAAGAGTAATTTACAATGGAGAACTTTTGTGGGTATTAAGTAAATGATCACATTTAATCTCACCAATAATAGGCCAAACTCATGGGCACCCTTGCACTGAGAACAAATCTCACTTATGTAGGATTTGCTCCAAAAGGATAAGGTAAACAAATTGAGGGACATTCTTCAAAATGACTCACAAGCTTTTAGAAAATGTGCAAACCAAAAGAAGATGGGAATTGTATGTTTAAAGAGTAGAGTTGTAACAATTAAATGTAATATGGCATATTCATTGAAACTTGGATTCAGAAAAATCAAGGATAATATTGGGATACTTGGAGAAACTTAAACATTATGTGGGATAGTAATACTGACATTAATTTTCTTGATTATAATTCTGTAGTTATGCAGAAGTCTGTGGTTTGTTCTTAGGATGTAATATACTTAGGGGTAAAGAGTTATGATGTCTGCACCTCATAAATGCCTCAGAAAAATAAATAAGTGGGCAGAGAAAGAAAAAACAAATGTGAAATACTACCAATTGGGGCATCTAAACGAATATATGGCTATCATTTTATTTTTGCCACGTCTGTAGGTTTAACTTCTTCAGAATGAAAGCTAGGGAAAAAAAAATCCTTTAAGCTATGCACTTACTGGAAACACAATGTTTTATGTGTTTACGTAACTAGGCAAGTGTACATTGTTTGATGCTTAGTATATCTATGAAAATTAATTGCAAGTTTTTGCCATAGACATGGAAACTCTCATGAGATACAAAGTTAAGTTATTCTAAGACATTTAGCTTCCACTATTTTTAGAAATGCAGCGTTTCTTTCTGTACATTTTTGGAGGGAAGGAGTGTTAGCACAAGATTGGAAATTAGCAAACATATTGTCAAATATGTAAATCCTAGTGTTAACATTTGATCAGAATTTCAGCACTACCTGCCTCAACCCATTTCATCTCTCACTATTTCTGGGTAATTTTTCTATGCTTACACAGTTTTCCCTGCCCTCCTGTAACACTCATAATTGATAGCAGTTGAAGCAACAGTGGCTTTAGAAGTCTCAGTAAGAAATAGTATGAAAAGCTGGTGAAGTTAATGGGACTGGGACAATTTTTTTTAAATGAGCATATGAATCTGAAAGAGTGACAAAAGTAATGTATGTGTTCACTGATACTCTAATGGCTTTGTGAGAATTTCAATTTTTGTTTGTTGAAAAGCAATTATTAGCTTGATTATAGTTTTGTCCTTACAACAAATATCTACTCGTTAGAAAGCTCTAGTTGCCAAACAAGGTAAAGCAAAGAAAATGTAGACAAAAAGTAACATAGACACTCATTTGCTGAATTCCCTGGT